CACTGCATCAACCACCATTGCACTCTGAAATTATAAAGTGTCGTCTCACTTCCTCTCAAATGGCAGACAAAATCAAGAGGCAATAAGAACGAAGCCTAGACCTTAATTTAACAAGTATGACATTTAACATCTGACTGCAGAGACAGTTATCTCATATTGCTTTTGGTGACAAAGACCAAATCTAGGATTCAGTTTGTTTTTATTTTGCTGTGAGACTGTTTAAATTCTTATTTCTAGAGTATTCTAAACTTTTGAAAGAAGTACTTACTTCTATGGGTATACCAGCTAACTTCCTAAATAGAAATTAAATCCTGTTTCCTTATAGTTTATGGGGTAGAGAATAGAAATTATTTTCACGCAAATACACAGACATTCACAATATTAATGTGCATGTATTTAATGAAGAATCATCAAACTGTATTCATGAGAAAGCAGATTTTATTCAAAGCTAAGAGCAGGAATTAGATGAAAATACAGATTTAAAAGGCCACACACTGTTGTGCAGAATTATGCACTTGATCAACACACTAAAAAAATTACTTTGTTACAAAGAATTAATCAATGGTCCTACATTTTTCTAAATTTAAAGATTTTTGTTTTGTTTTGGACCCTTATTCAGGAAATGCTTTTACATATTAATGAGTTAAAGAATACAACAATAACAAAACAAAAAAAATTATGGTTTAACAGGCTATGTGTGCTTTTAAAGCCATCAATGGTTGAAAGGATTACCAGCTTTGTCAGAGCAGTTTGGCTGGCTTTTGAGTTTCCCCTTTACTTTAGAGATTAGCGGTAATGCTGCTGCAGCTTTGGGAATTCGAGAGGTGACTTGGCTGTGCTGCTTTGAGCATCCAGATGTTACTCAACAACAAAATATAAAATGGCTCTTATGAGTTAAAAGACTGTATACAATTTGGTCTATAACAGCATGACAGCATAATTTTCATTATCATCATCATCATCAGCTGTTGGCTACTCTATTGGTCCTTGATCTTGTAACTGGAGAGATTTATTCAAATCTGCTTAACAATGTTTAGGAGATGTGAAAAAGCTGTATAGCATCTCCAGTCCAGCAGATCACTGTGATAAAAAATAAAAAATAAAAAAAACTCAAAAACTAAAGGCATTTCTAGCTGTTTCTGCCCTTAGCTCAGCATAACTTCTGTCTCCACGAAACCCCGGCAGGATGATGTGAAGGAACTGCCATGATAAGTGCATCTGTTTTTGCTTGAGTGTCTTTACTATCAAGAGTCATTGTACTATTCAGAAGAGCCAAGGAACCTTTATCCTGGAAAGGTTTGACCTGAAGAAAAACATGTGTAAAACTGTCTTAAAATACAGAGATCTTTTAAAACTGTGTGTGTATTGCTAAAATCTGGCTAAAGAGAAGGGAATATTTAAGATTTTTGATAATTGAAATATGAGGGGGCAGAGATTGATTTAATAAAATCTAATAAAAATTGGAATATAGCAAAAAAATAAGCAAAGAAAATAAAATGATTACATGTTTAGTTCTGTTTCTCTCTAGAAGTTTCTCCAAACTCAGGGTTAAGAATGTCAAAGTTTCTTCCATAACAAATACCCTCCACTGCCAGATGGGTGTTTATCCTGAATAGTTTTGTTGTGTTTATAATTTACATTTTACATTGAAGAATCGGGTAATTTAACAAAAAATAAAAATAAATCTGAGTAAACGAAACCAGGGAGAGTACTAGGTAGCAGAAGGAAAAAGAGTAGGTAGAAGTTGTATTTGAGTATAAATAGCACATTTTTAATATATCAATATAAAGAAAATGTATATATCTTAACAGACAAAAATATAAATAATATTCACATTCCGGTATTTTCAAGACTAAAATTATATACAAAGGAAAAACATAGTTCCAAAGTTAAAAAATCAAGCAAAAGACGCATTTCTAATAGTTTTTTTTTTTTGGTTTTGTTTTTTTCAATATAAAAAAAATTAAACATATGATTAGAGCAACTAATGTATTTACAGTAAGTTAAAACAGAAAAAATATATTCATTAAAAATAGTTACTTTCTACTGTATATTCAATTGACTACCAAATGGCTCGATAAGGTCAGCAGGTAGAAAATAATAAAAGAAGGAACAAGGAAATTATACATAGAAGTAATATGTCTTAATACTATTAATTTAGTAAAAGGAAAAAGAACAAAATAATAAAACTACTTTTCAATAACACTTTGTTCAAAGTAGGTGTACTGATTGCAGATGTTACCAGATGTGTAAGTACCTTAGGGGAACTAATGTGAGAGAATGACAGGAGAATAAACTTCACAAGAAGTAACACGTTTAGCAACACTAAAGATCCTAAACTGGAGACAGAAAGAGGAACTTTACATCATATAAGTTTATATGTTAGGTTACATCAAATAACTTCAGAATTCTTATTCATATAAACCTTGTATTAAAATCTTAGAACTGAGAAATTAATTAGTGATGAGCTTACGGTAGTATCGCTGTTTTCTCTTCTACTCTGCTAAAACCCTTTTACTATTTTTATTAAGTCAGTTTTAATACTCTTTAGATGGATCACAGTAAAAGCTGTCTGAAATTACTATGTGATCCCATGAGTTAGATCTTACATCATTTTGAATGTGATTTCTCAAACATGCATCATTTTTTGTCCTGTCAAGCTTTCGCAGCTTCCCACAGTTGGTATAAATCATTGTTGCAAATACTATGTGTTTGGCGTTCTCCATATGAGGTGCACTAGTATGGCTACAAATCTCTACATTAATAATCACCAGGGAGTATTTTCCCACATGTTCTGAGGTTATTCCATGTGAAAAGTGATTCTTTTCAGACATGATGGGTTTGTTTAAAAAAAGAATAGCAGTACCTGAATGTGTCCCTGCCGTTTATAGTTTTTTGAGGCACATGCACAATCCCACGGAGGAACCAGTGAGTTTTAACATTTTATTTACAAAAAAGCAACAATAATCTGGAAGTGGAGAACTGCAGGAAGTCAGCTGAACTTTCTGGTTGGTCTGAGAGGAGAAATCGGACTGATCAGGTTGATGAAAACTGATAACTGATGGATTTGCTTATTTAAGTGATGAAGGGGAGGTAGCATGGATCTCTAGGGGTTTGATTCAGCATGCTTTGCAGACTGCACCTCAGAAGTCCAAGAGAAATTGGGTGATGTCGAGAACATTGGTACTTGTAAGAAGTGTTGTGGTGGAGTGCAGGCAGGCAGGTGATGAAGACTGAGAACTCCTGCACACAGGTGAGACTTTTTCTATGAAGATCGGAGATTCACTGGTTGTCTGTAACAATAACCCATTAAAAAAGATTCACAACAAGACATATTTTAACAAGAAGGATATTCCTAGTTTAGGTCTTTTGCTGGAATACCATCAGGGGTAATCATCCGGTGAAGAGTTACGATCCTTCACCTCCTTATATACAGGGTTATCATCTTGATTGAGGTGTGCTGCAACATGGGTTGAAGGAAGGAGCTTCCTGGAGCTTCCAGTAAGCTCAGTCACATCAGAAAAACAGCAAAAACCCAAAGATCCTAACATTGTTTATAGCCAAACCTTTTGTCCAGGTGAGTACTGGGGAGTTGGAATCCTTCTCTGATCGGGCAGACGTAGATTTGCTTCCACTGACCGGTTTGCAGCACTGAATGTGGTGTTTGACAAAGGTAACTACAATTTCGTGCTCATCAGATGGAAACAGGCGAGCTTGATATCCTAGAAAGGACTCAAATGGAGTCAGATTAGTGGCAGAAGAAGTTTGAAAAGGATATGCATATTTGAGCAAAGGCAATTGAGTACTCCATAATGTTCTGATAGAGGCAGTGGAGGGATGCCTCAAGCTCCAGGTTCATGCACTCGGATCAACCATTTGTTTGGGGAGGAAAACCTGAACTGAGTAGTCTTGGCCCCCAAAGAAGTACAAATGAATCCAGTCTGTTCCTCTGCTTGGTTTTGATGTGTGTCAAAGCTGAAGGAGAACTGAAAGATATAAGAAAAACACTCTTTGGTTGATAAAAGCTTTTTTAATTTTGTAACTGGATCCTCACAAAGCAAAAAAGTTTGCAGCTCTATTTTATTTTTACTACCAAAAAAATAAAATATTTTCATGTACTCTTGCAATGCACTCACCCACCACTAGGGGTGCGAGTATCCCCGGTCGAGAATCACTGCTCTAAAAGACGTCGGAGAACTTGAGGCATGTGGATTTTATGTTCAGATAAGTTCCTGGAGAAACTCACAATGTCATCAAGATATATGAATAAAAACTGATTTAAAGATATTCAAAATGACCTAAGGGTTTATGGCCCCTGTAGTCAATACAAGGTCTTAGTGATCCATCCTTTTTCCCAACAAAGAAAAAAAATGCTCCAACAGGTGAGGTATAGGCGTGCATAATTCCAGCAGCTAGAATGATCTACGACTCTACCTCATTGATGACTCATTAACGTACTTCTGCATACTCTCTCTATCAGGTTTGGACAGGTTATACAACCTACTGGAGGGAAGAGGACCTCCAGGATGCAGCTCAATAGCATAGTCATATGTGCGGTGAGGCTGGAAAGAGAGAGCCTTAGACTTACTAAAAAAGAGATGAAGGTCATGATACTTAGGAGGAACCACAGAGAGGTCTACTGCAGTTTCCTGTTCTAGAGCATTTAAGACTGGAGCACGGCTGAATGTAGAAAGTTTGACTCCATGACTCAACGCTATCTCCTTTCCAGTTCAAATGAGGATTAATAAGGGTTAGCCAAGAGTACCCTAAAAACAATGTCAGATTGGGATGAAAAGAACAGGAGAAACTATGTACCCCAAATTACTTTAGAAAATTAAAACCTATTTAAGCATCTGCTTGGATCTTAGTTGAAGCTTATAAATAATCTCTTATCCAGTAATCTATTTAGGTAAAGAAAAACCTAATAAATCCTATATTGTATTTCTATAGGGAATGAATAATCAATCCACATCATGATAGCCATTGTTTCCATGTTTCAGGTGATGGACACCCCAGAGAGAGCAGTCCTTTCATCAACAGCAGCGCATCCTTGGATATCGAAAAGAGTCAGCAATACGACAGCAAGAGCATGGCTCTATTTGAGGTGGGGGTTGCCCTACAACCAGCAACAATTGTTTAAGTAAAAATTAATAATTTTCACTGATGTGTTCTTGTTTGGAATGTAGGAGGAGATTGATACCAGTCCAATGGTTTCCTCTCTGCTCAGTTCTCTGGCCAACTACTCCAACTTGCCGACTGGCAGCAAAGAGCATGAAGAGGCTGAGAATGAAGAGGGGGCTAGGCCATCTAAAAAACCTGTAAAGGTAGAACACTACCGTAGTATTAGTGGGAACTAAATCCTTTCACAGCTTTATTGTTTATCTCATACTTTATATCAACATCTTTCTAAATTATTCTTGCCTGGATATTGTTATTACCTTTTCCAATTTGCTATTACTGAATTGCTGAAAAGGTTTCCAAGTAATACAGAAAATAATAATATTACATTTGTGTTTATTAAGGATATGATAGAAATAAAGTAATATTTCACCTTGTTTTAAATGAGCCAGTTTTTGCACTTCTCATGTTTTTACGAAGAATGTTCCAGACTGCAGGAGGAGAGAAGCTACAGTAGTACTGCCTCCATTTGTTCAGTTCTGGAATCTCATTTTTGAAATATTGCATAGGACCCGTACTAAAAGTGTACATTCACCAAACAACTGATAATTGCTTAAACGACGTTGAAAAATATAATCAAGCAAATTTTCATTATACATTAGATCACAGCTTAGACTTAGACAACTTTTATTGTCATTTTGTACAACTTTTCAGACAGTAAAAGCTGTTGCATCCAAGTTTGCATCCAAGGCTCATTACAATTACACTTAAATGATCCATACAAAGCACCACATGAAGCCAGCTGATCAGTGCTATCTATTTATTACCAATGGCAACCACTAGGGAGTCTAATCAGCTCATAAGCCATTCATCATCATTGGCCTAGACATATTGGTGATTCCTGGAAATTAGACCTCGCCTAATAATAATTATATTATTATTTAAAGCATCCATTGTGCACCATTACCACCATTTAAGATACCAGTATGTTAAATGTTTTAGAGCAATCTATGTATATTCCTTACAACTTGTTCTGTATATTGAACTGTTATGACTCAAGCTGTTGGTTATCAGAGAGAGGAATGTAAAGTTGAAGAAATGTTTAAATGTTATGCAGATTTGCAATTTAACCTGGCTTAAAAAATTTTTTTTGGGTGTGTGACAGCAATGCAAGCATATATGCAGGGGCAGATATAGGAAATATTGGGCCCTAGGCAAAGACAGCCAGGGGGCCCTCTGAATTGAGACAGACCCATTATACAAATACAGAAATTTGAATAGAATAGACATACATTATTTGTTCTATGTTTTTGTCCCTCTCTTCTTGTCCATTTTCGTGTTGTTTTCCTCTATATGTTTTGTACTCAGCTGAGTTGTCATGCTTTCTCAAAAGGAGTTAAAGATCTTTGCCAAACACTAAGCTCACTTAGCTGATTGCTCCTTTCTGTGTTTTGAAAAAGGTGACGGCAAAGGTAAATAACAAAGTGCTTCTTTTCACTGTAGACAAGCCATGATCTGCTTATCTCTTCTCCATTTTTCATTTGTAGGAAATAATAGCTGCATGAATCATGACATAATTATAGCGACAAAAGCACTAAGTTTGCAACACTACTCTTCGCATCGTCCTTTTTTTAAATGGTTTGCTGCTTTCTGTTTAAACCTTTCTAAACATGTGTAGCAAATGGAGTGATCCAATGTGGACACTGAAGGGTCTGAGACACACTTAAAATTATAAGCATTCTAATGGCATTTTAGCAAAAAGATTTTTATCAAAAACATAATTAATGTGCTCAAATAAGAAATAGTTGTATTAACCATACATATAAGCTAAGTTTAATGGGACCCCCAAGAACTTGGGGCCCTAGGCAACTGCCTAGTAGTGCATAATGGTAATGGTAAATGGTATGATGAAGTAAAATGAAATTTCTGAGGAGAGTTATGTGCCATCTGGCTTCTGTTCCCCACTTCACCATGTGTGTCACCAATTTATCCAGTCTCCAAAGTATATGTGACCTGGCAAGCCAGACTGATGATCCAGCACTCAGGTTTAGTTCTGCTCATTATTAATCTGGGACTGCTCCCATCAAATCTGCTGAAAGAAGAGTTGTTCAGCAGAAGCTTTCGAGGTGATTGGGTAAAGTGACTCTAGGTGCGTGCCTGCAAAGGTTCAGTGTTAGCCAATCACAATAACTGTCAGGTTTTGTGAATGTTTGTAAAGGACGAGACAGAAGCAGAGAAGGTTTCTTGTAGGTTTAATGAAGTTAGTGGCAACAAAAGCATAAACCCAGAATGAACAGGCAAGGAGCTTAGGAACCAAAACAAGGAGACACTGGGGAGGAGCATACATAGCAATGGACCAAATTCAGCAAAGAGAAACTGCACAGAGGGTGTATTTATGGGAGAAACAAACAATGAATGGGCTAATCATTTGATAGGGAGCAGGTGTGGACAGGAGCAACTAAAAGGGAATTATGGGGAAATAAAAGGGAAACTAGGGGCAACAAAGAATAACCAGAGAAAACAGGATCTAACTGTATTTTCTCTCATTAATCCCGTTGACACAAAACTAGCTCAGAGCTTGTCTGCTTCACTTGTTTCTTTCCTAGACAGAGCCACCTACCATTTCAAACATATTATGCATGTCTGATTCTCTCTCTGGCAAAAAGCCTGGGTGATCTTGTTGAATTGTTTGTAAAGTGCTTGACAGTAGCTCTTGTGAATTGGTTTTATATAATTAAACTGAGTTAAATTAAATTATATTGAAGTCAGCCAACACAAATTTCATTTTTTTATAAACAAGACCAATGGTCTTTATGACATAGCATGAAAAGGTCTCTTATGACATGGGAGTCTACGCTGTTCATGTCTAATAAGTAGTTGAAGTGTGTACAGATCCAAGACAAGTCAATAATTCTATAGAGAGGCTCAGGGTCTGTAATAGAAAGTGATTATGTGGTAACACAAATATTATGTTGTTTGCTATTAGCATTCATACAGTCAGAGATATTATAGTACTAAATGCTTTGAGATAGGGTTAGGAAAGAAATATTGAATAAAAAATTGTACCAACAATACAGCCTTGAGGATTTTTAAAATACAGCATTAATGCCAAATAGTATCTGAACCAGTCGAATAGATAGTAAATCCAAATTTGGGACTGTGCGCGGAGGAGGCTTAATTCAAAATGTGTTCTTTAGATATAATGGATATTTAATTATTCTGTAAGCCTGGACTGTTGCTACCTCCCAAAACACTGCATCCAGATTGTTTCCCTGCTATTTTAAGATTAAGCGATATATTAAAAAAATGCATCGGCCCAAACATTTAGCAAATTCAGTACAAGTTACAGCAGGATATTTTAAGGGACATCCAAATTGGTTCTACTATGATGTGGTATTGATTAATATGCATAAGGAAACACTGAATTGTATTGATTTCTTTTTATCCATGTACATATGTACATATGTGCCTGTAAAATATGAGTATCTTCTTTTTTTCACTTTTTAGTTAACTAAATGGAAAAAAAAAAGGTCCCTTTGGTTAGATTATATTTAAGCCTCTTTTAAATTACTTGTCAATAAGTGTTAAACTTTCTTATTAAAGCTTTGTTTACTACCACATTGCCCTGACTAATTATCAAAGCTCTTGGCTGGTATTAATATAGTTTTTTGGCATTAATAATATTGTTTTTCACAAATAGACATTCCAAAAGCTTTACATGAAAGATACTTTGTTCAATTTATTTTACAATGAACATCCAGAACTTTTTTAAAAAAGCACATAAGATAATTGCTTTTATTAAAACAAAATGTCAGAAATAGTTTGTCAACATTTGGTATTTTCACAATACATGAGATCATAACTGCAATAAAAACATTTGCCCACATTTGTGCTTGGCTTGGTCATAATGTCTTATATGATCCCTGGAGCTCAGCTGGAGAGAGGATCGGAATCAGAGAAGCATTTCATTTTTATCATTTCAATCCTTTGTGAAATATCAGACATATATAAGTACAACACCTGAAAACACTTGACTTTAATTTTCCACATTTGTTACGGTGTGCTCTTTCCAGGCCCCCCAGCTGGGCACTTTGATGGGAGTCTACTTGCCGTGCATCCAGAATATTTTTGGAGTGATCCTCTTCCTGAGGATGACATGGATGGTCGGGATTGGAGGAGTCTTCGGCTCGTTCATAATCGTCTTTATGTGTTGCTCTACGGTATGTTAAACTGCAGATGTTCATGCTGTGGTACATCTGTTGTCTGATGGAAAAGTTCTTTCTTTTTAAAACAAGTAACACTTGGGAAACATTCTCTATCCATAAAACTACAGCTGTTTTTTTTTTTTTTCTGACAGTACACTTAACCTGCAGATGTCCATATCCAGCATTTTATTTAAATATCTATGGAAAAAATTCTAATTCATTCAGTGAGACTAAATAAAACCTGTTCTTTTTTATTGTTGCTGTTTTCAGACCATGCTCACAGCCATTTCTATGAGTGCCATTGCAACAAATGGAGTTGTACCAGGTAAGGGTTTATGTCCAGGCATGTGCAGCCCCTTAAAAAAAAACATCCCTGCCCCTTTAAGTTTTCTACATCTTATGACATCACAATCTTCAATGCACATTATGGGGATTGTATATAATAGATCAACAAAACGAGTTTTCTATATTTTTTTACAAAAGAAATTCTAAAAAATGTGGTTAAGGTGCATTTTGAAACCCTATTTATTCAGAACTAAAATCTAGTGCATCAAAAAAAATTTCAGCAGTTATCTAATTGATAAATATAATTCCCTTGTGTAATTTGATCTAATATAAATTGAGTTGTCTTGTCCAGGCCTCAGAGATTTTTCTGAGGATATAAGAGAAGAAACAATCTCATAAAGACCTAGGAACAAATCTCAAAGTTTCCTCTTACCGAAGAAAATTCAATCTATTGTTCAAAAAACTTAAAATTGTAGTCAAACAGCAAGTTTGGGGAAAGAGAGCTTTAATTAGAAAAGAACCAAGAGGCCAGTAATAAGCCAGGACAAGCTGCTGAAATCTGGAGTTTATGTGTGAAAAACATTTTAATTGCAACAAGAGGTAGTTCTGCAATTCATTTGCTCCAGGGGAGAAGTGAAGTTTCTGGTTTTAGTATTACATTTTCAAATGGCATCAGCATTTTTACAGGGGAATGTTTTACTGAGTCTGACAGATCAAAAGACTAAGCCTAGTGTGTGTTTGTCACCCACAGCTGGTGGTTCATATTATATGATCTCTCGCTCCCTGGGACCAGAGTTTGGTGGAGCTGTGGGGATTTGCTTCTATCTAGGAACCACCTTTGCTGGGGCCATGTATATACTTGGTTGTATTGAAATTCTTCTGGTAAGTGCATCCAAATTCCACATATGTTATTTTTAATGTAAATTTTAAACATTAAAAAATGTACACCTCATGTCTTCATTCTGTGTGGCATATATTTTATGCTAAAAAAAAAATCAGGCTGCATTAAAATTAATATCTTTTTGTCAAAAACAGAAGTGCAAACTTTCTTTTTGTTTAAACAAAAAAAAAACCTAATAATTCCCACAATGTTGTATCTAATTTAAAATTTTGAAGAAAAAAAAATTCTATCAAGTTCCAAACGCTGTAAAGCAGTGTTTTCATCCATTGGCCCAACACTTAAGGAAAACAGATGCCGTTTTTGCACACATGATTTCAATATGGACCAACATCTTAAAAAGAGAAGGAACACAGAAAATAAAATAACAAGTATATGACTCAGCAAGACTCTTGGCTAATTAATTGGTAGAATTACTTGCAGGTGTATCTCTAAACTGAAAAGGAAAGAATATACTGTATGTATTTTTATGTTTCTTATATAGGTATATTGTATACCTTTGTAAGTAAGCATATATATAGATATATGTATATGTGTATATATTCAATTGAATGTGCTAACATGTAAATGTTTTTATCATCACATCATTTGTGGGTACCTCTTTTTTTCCCTTCTCTTTACCCCTGTACGTTCCTTCAGATTTATATCGTCCCACAGGCAGCCATCTTTAAAATTGAGGGCCTGGAGGGTCCCGAAGCAGAGATTGCACTCCTCAATAACATGCGTGTGTATGGAACCCTTGTGCTGAGCTTCATGGCCATAGTGGTCTTTGTTGGGGTCAAATATGTTAATAAGTTGGCACTGGTTTTCTTGGCCTGTGTTATCCTATCTATTCTGGCAGTTTACGCTGGGATTATAAAGACTGCCCTTGAGCCTCCTGTCTTTCCGTAAGTAGCTCTTCTTTTTGTTTTTTGTTACTTTACATTCTGAATTTTAAAAAATTCCTTAGGTTTTCTTGTTCTTACTTTGCAGAGTTTGTCTCCTTGGAAATCGAACACTTCTCTCTAAATCATATGACGTCTGTGCAAAGGTCATTGAAATAGACAATGAGACAATCACCACCCAGATGTGGAGATCATTCTGTGATTCTGATTCCCTCAATGCAACATGTGATGAATATTTCATCAACAACAATGTCACAGAGATACAGGGCATCCCTGGGGTCAATAGTGGAATCCTTGCTGGTCAGTTACAAACCTGCACCACAGTTTAATGCTTACTGTAAAGACTCCTGTTTTGTACACTCACCCTTATCTTACAGAGAACCTGTTTGGAAATTATCTGGAAAAGGGTAATTTCCTGGAAAAGCGTGGCATCTCATCCACTGTGGATCCTGATATTCCAACCACCAACTCTAACCGCTACGTTGTGGCTGACATCACCAGCTTCTTTACCCTGCTGGTGGGGATATATTTCCCATCGGTCACAGGTGACTTTGGAGACTGTTCTGAAAAAAATTTTTTATCCAACAGCATTTCAGAATAGGTATAAATTTGTAGAGACATCAGCCCATTTAAAGAGTAGTATTAGTTAATTGATAACATACTCCAGATTTACCTTGGGGTCAACTTGGGTGGTTTTATAAGTGTGCATCAACCTTGTGATGTTATGTTGTGAACAAAAGCATGAAAAGAGGACCAGAGCTATTAGCTGAGCACCGCTTGGTAATAAGGTGGATCTGCGAAACTCGGAGGTGATGCTAAACTGGGCCGAGGTGCCTAATTGGGACAGCTTTACTCATACCTTGAGAAGACTTTATCTCATGTTCTGTGGCCGATTGGGATCATTGAATCAGACTAGGAAATTATTGGTACCTCCACTTTAGATGTGCTTTTCTTACAGCTGTAAAGGTGAACGCCAATGGATCCATTGGGTTTTATGGAAGCAATCAAGCTGGTGAGGTGGATCTTCAGGTTTTTGTTGTCTCTGAACAACTAAAGCAGCTAACTGGAAAGCCAGGGGGACTAGCAGAAGCCAACATTTTGGTTCAGTGAGGCAGTAAAAGATACCTGACCTGAAGAATTTGTGGTTTATACTCTCAAATGCTTAGGACGTATGGGCTATCCCAGGTAGTGTTTGGTTTAGGAGGGGGAGTGCAGATCCAAACACAGGGAATTGTCAGGTTGTGAAAGGTGAGCTTTACAGGTTGACTAATGGGGTCACAATGTCCTCCATAGAGGAAACAGTTTGAGAACTCAGTGGAAGTCAAGTCTACCAGGACTTCCATGTTAGTTTTTCAAATTTCTTCACCCACTCCTGGGTCCAGATTCACCTCAAGATGCTGAAGGTTGTAGATATAGTGTGATTATAATCGCTGCCCTCTTCCCATATTCCCTTTTGGTTTTCCAATTATTCTGAATTCCCGTTCCTCAGGCTCCTGGTAATGTATTTTATGTCTGACTGTTGAAACTTGAAGTCAGAAAGAGGTCATAGAACAATGGGTAACTCAGATCAGAACGTCACAGAATCACTGAAGGGGTTAATGGGAGTTTTTTGGTTTATTTACCAGGGATGCTTTCCAAAGCAATGCACTACTACTTTTTGTCCTCATAGCGCATTCAAAGTCAAGCCTAATTTAAGTACAGCTTGGAAAACAACAGGGATGTCATATGTCTCCACTCCTGTCTTTTACATGTTTGGGAAGGTTAAGCACCTCTATTTAAAGCTCCCCTATGCATGACAGAGGTTCTCACCCCCAGGGTAGTAAGTCTTAAAAGATGATAATTTAACTAGAAGCCTATAGAACAGGTCCAGAACTTGGCTTGAGCACAATTATTGCAGAAACCTTTAAAAAAAAACTTAAATCATTGTAAAGCTATATCAGATCTCTAGCTTGTTTTATTGCCTTATTGTGGGGAATAAAATAAAACACTGACTAACATAACATGAGCAAACCAAGTTAGTATCATTAGGATTTTCTGACCAAGGATTAATTTGAAAGCTCAACTTTATGTGAGATTATTTTGTGAGGAGAGACAAACCTTGAATGTATAAAGCATGAATCTCTTAACCCTTATCTGTGGACTTAAGGGATCATGGCTGGCTCAAACCGCTCTGGGGACCTTCGAGATGCCCAGAAGTCCATCCCCATCGGTACCATCGCAGCCATCACTACCACCTCCACTGTGTGTATCCTTAAATAGTCAAACTGTGACTGAAAGGAAACATGGATTCAAACATGTAAGATGACAATTCAAAAAATTATTCTCAATTATATGTTTCTTAACTTTTTTCCAAAGATATGACCTGTGTGGTCCTGTTTGGTGCATGTATAGAAGGAGTAGTACTAAGAGACAAGTAAGTTTGGCTGGTTTTATTTTCAATTTTAACATTAGCATCAAATGTTTTCCCTTGCATTCATTGATATATGCAGTATAACTGTGATTTTACATTCTTCCTCTAGGTTTGGTGAAGGTGTTAATGGTAACCTGGTGATTGGAACGCTGGCATGGCCTTCCCCCTGGGTCATTGTTTTTGGCTCTTTCTTCTCCACCTGTGGTGCAGGACTTCAGAGCCTGACTGGAGCTCCACGTCTTCTTCAAGCCATTGCAAGAGACGGCATCATCCCATTTCTCAGAGTTTGTATCACAGTTTTTCCAAAGGCTCAGTTTGTTTAGCTTTCCATATAATGCTAAAACAAACTAAGCAAGGGTTTAAAATATCAAATTTTGTGCATTTTTCTTATTTCCTTTAGATTTTTGGACACGGTAAAGAAAATGGAGAGCCAACCTGGGCACTGTTACTAACAGCTAGTATCTGTGAAATCGGTATCATCATCGCCTCCCTGGATTCAGTCGCTCCTATCTTGTCTATGTAAGAATGCAAGCAATAATTAACTATTAGAAAGATATTATAGCTACTTACTGTCTTCTCTTTTCTTTTGTCTTTAGGTTTTTCTTGATGTGCTATATGTTTGTCAATCTTGCCTGTGCCCTGCAGACCCTTCTGAGGACACCTAACTGGAGGCCACGCTTTAAATTTTACCACTGGTGAGTGTTGAAGGCTATATTATCATTTTAAGATTTTTTTTGTTTTAAGTTGAAGGCTATATTATCATTTTAAGAAACTTTTTGTTTTCAGTTTTTTTTTTTTTTTTTTTATTGCCGTAAATATTAATTTTCACAACCAACTCTGAACTATTCATGGAAACGCATGAACAAAAGTAGCAGATGAAGCAGTCAAGATTTTCAATCAAATGTTCTGTAAAATATGTAACAATATTTCATTATTTCTCACATTTTTAAGACATAAAATACTGCTTTAAATGAATGCAACTTGAATATGAGTCCAAACAATTGAGATTTGTATCTAACAAACTCAGAGACCTAATAATCTAGCACTCCATACAATGATTTAAAAGTGCTCTGTTGCCAGCCCTGTCTTAATGCAATTACCCAAAAACTAATTTGAAAAATTCACATTGTGTAAGCCTTAATGTGCCTCTTTTGACCTGCATTGTTAATGTTATGTGCTCAGGCATGAGTGAGCACTACAGATTCTCCAGTCAAGTGTGCCACCAAGATACTGTACTGTATGTTACATTAAGAGAGGAAGACATGCAGGGATTGTGCCAGTTTAACTTTTCTCAACACAAACAGTCTGTGTTTTACATATGAATGTTTAACTGCCCAAGAAACAATGCAGTTGTCAAAACACTATTCTCAGGACACCTCTGCCATGTTAATAAAAGTTACTTCTATTGTTACTTATTTTTACTTTTCTTACATGTTTAAAAAAAGTCACTTTGGCCAAAGCAAAGCAAGTGGTGTTCGGAAGAGACGTTTGCCATGTCCTATATTTGGTTTTGAATGCTTAGAAAAAATATTTTTTACAGCTAATTATTGTGGGCTTGGATGTAGATTGTAGGAGAGATATTACTGATTTACATTTAGTCCAACATTTCTATAACCAATAAATGTATTTGCCAGGGGAGAATTCCTCAATCTCCCCCCCTCTCTTTAGGTAAAGAGTCTTTGAGTCCTCCTGGAGTCCTTGCTCTGCTTGAGTCTGCTTATATCTGACTTTATTCCATAAAGTCCCTCCCTCAGTAACATTTCCACTTCTGTCTCCAACTATTTCTTGATCACCACCTTTCTTGACCTCCTTAATAAGCCTCAAATGGTTGAGAATTCTGCTGCTCCAGTCACCATCCTGAACCCCTCCTTCCAACATATTACCCCTGTTCTTTAGCAGCTACACTGACACTATATCAAATTCCAAATTCCTTCTCCATACTTTTAAACCCATCCACAACTGTGTCACTCCTTACTTGTCTAGGCCTCTCCACATTCACAGACCCACTTTCTCCTTCAGGTCCTTCTTTTCCGTTCGCTTCTCTGTCTGCCTCAGCACCATGGATGGCAGAGCTTTATCTTCGTCTGCCCCTAAGCTCTGGAATCATCTGCCGTCAGACATTTGATTTTAAATAAAATTCATTATTATTATCATACTCTGTGGACGTTAGAAGACATTTAGCACTAACAGATGATGTAAGGTTAGCATGTTGGTGATGTAACACATCACCAACATGCAGTATGTGATCTCTCTAATACCTTTATGCTTAAACTTTGTCAAGGATCTGACATAATTTGTGTCAGATCCTCTTTAATCACGTTTGGATTTTTCTTCCTTTTATTCCAAGATTTAATCATGGCCCTTCTGTAGAGGGCATAAGGCTATTTATGTGTCCAAACTGGCAAACCTTTTTATATGTCATGCTGTATATTTGGGATTTCTGTCTCAAATACATCACATTTAGTCTTTAAAAGCAATGGACAGGACCAGCTGTTATTTAAAAAGTCATACATTCGACATTCTGTCACCCACAGGGCTCTGTCATTCCTGGGTATGAGCCTGTGCCTGTCGCTCATGTTTATTTGCTCCTGGTATTACGCCATAGTTGCCATGGGTATTGCCACCTGCATCTACAAATATATTGAGTTCTGTGGGTGAGTAATCATTATGACACCATCTTTTCAATCACTGATTGTGAAAGCTTTTTAAGTTGACCAAATGTGACAAAAAAACTATACATTCATGCAATATACACCAAGAGTTCACCCTGATAGTGTTTAATTAACCCTTTTTGAACCTGAGAGGAGTTTTTGCACCAGCCAGGATCAGCAGACACAGACATTACCACCTACTGCCAGCATTTACTCACACATTCATTAACTTACCGGATTCTGCATGCTTAGCTTCTGCTTCATTAAATGGCAGCATGCATATTGTATTCAAAGTGCTACCTGTTTATCCAACATGGACATCAAATAATTCTTTGCACTTTTTTACTTTTATCTTAGACTTTTGGCTTTTCTTCTCAAACCTCTGCTGGGAGTTGCTTTTCTACATTACGTCTTTGTTTACTCATTTAGCACATGTGCAATATCATACCTCCACTCTGGCTTTCACTGCAGAAACAATCTAAAAACAAGTAACAATTTCTTAAAATTTGTGTATTTACCCTTGATTCAAGTGGGTAAATAAAAGGATCTCACTATGGAATAAGTACTTTTACCCTTAAAATAAGATAATTATATATTTTACACTTGATATAAGTGACTGCTGTTGTTCTTTTCTTATTTTAAATGCAAATTGTCTTATTCCGTTGACATAGTGTCTCACTTACCTGCTCAATGCAAGAAGAAATTCACATATTTTAAGAAAAAAATACTTACTAAAATTTACATATTTTTGAAGTGTTGTTAGAATAAACACTGAACTTTACAACATAATATTGCAAAAACAAAAGTTTAAAACACAGACATAAAATATAATAAACCAACAGGGGGCCATTTTTTATCATAAAGCTGTTATATGCGACCAAAGCAAGCTGCTGGTGTAGAAAGTTGTGAGGTCATAGTACATAACTTAGTCTCTTTAAGATCACAACAATATTTTTGTTCAAAGTATTGCAATGCTTTAAAAAGATATTTTGCTAACTCCTGTGATGTGGTGAAACAGAGCTGAGAAGGAGTGGGGTGATGGCATACGAGGAATTTCTCTCAGTGCGGCACGATTTGCACTGATGAGGCTGGAGGAGGGACCCCCACACACCAAAAACTGGAGGTCTGTTTAGTCATAAGATTTCTTTATAAGCATATTAAATAAAAATGAATCAACTTCAAACCAATTCGTTACTGATTGATATGAATTTGTGTTGATGTTGTGATTTCTGGCTTGTTTTAAGGCCCCAGATCCTGGTGCTGGTAAGCATGGATGCTGAGCAGAATGTGGAGCAACCCCGCCTGCTATCTCTGACCAATCAGCTTAAAGCAGGAAAAGGCCTGACCATTGTCGGCACTTCTGTTCAAGGAACCTTCCTTGACAGTTACACCGAGGCCCAGCGAGCAGATCAGGTATCTTTCACTCCTTTTATAAATCTGTAGCTTTTCCACCAACATTATTAGTTATAAAGGTTAATTTCCGCATGTTTATGTTTGTCTGCAGTCTTTGCGTAAGCTGATGGAAACAGAGAAGGTGAAAGGCTTCTCTCAGGTGGTTGTCTCCTCAAATATAAGGGATGGGACGTCCCATCTGATACAAGTTGGAGGACTTGGGGGTCTTAAGCATAACACTGTGATGGTCAGCTGGCCTCAGAACTGGAAGCAGCCCGAGTGCTACCAGCAGTTTAAGAACTTTATCGGTATGATAAAACTGCTATTGTTCAAATGTTCATATTTTGGATATTTGACCAATTTTCAATATGAAGTTATAGAAATTCAATTAAAAAGAGCTTCTGAAGCAATTTTATTTTATCATTGCAACTACAGCAGGTAATGTAGCCTTAGTGTAGGAGCAGCTTTGCAGTGCATATGTTCATTGCAGTTAAACATAGTGTTCCTATAATTTATTGTTCACAGTGAAGGAAAGAAAAAGCGTCTGAGATCACAATTTAACAATGGCAATTTTCAACTATACATTCACATTATTGCTTAATCTAATTTATTGCAAATGCATAATGCTAAAAAAAATCCCACAGAACCGAGTAATGAATTTAAGTAGACATCTTGACAAATTTGCACATGTTGCAGCGACACAATTTTAATCGCAATCATAAGATTTAATCATGCAATCATAGGAGAAATAAACTCAAACCTGCTATATGGCAACATTTTAGCAGCAAAAGATTCTGAAGGCTGATTAACATTTAAAAAGGCAACTAGTTAAACAAGTCTAAAAAACAATTTCTTTAGTTTTCCTTTAATCCCGGTTCACATTTCTCCCCTAATCTCTAACCTTTATAGTGCTTCTACCTCAGTGTCTGATTTTATTTTTATTTTTACATTTAGTTGTACAGTGCATGTGGTTCCAATGCCACTGTTGGAGTGCAGGTGTTAAAAAAAAGACTACCTAATTCTTTTAGAGACAGTTATTAAGAAAATAAAATTGGACAGATTTACAATGTATTATTAGCATCACAAAGCACTATTAGAATATAAATTCATCAATTTAGCTTTATTTAGAGGGTTATTAGTTGAGAAGACTCAGTCGACGAATATGTTACAAATCATAACATCTTCCTTCCTCTTTCTGTTTTAGAGGTTGTTAGAGAGACAACCATAGCTAGTTTGGCCCTTTTGGTTCCTAAGAATATTTCCAGTTATCCATCCAATGGAGAGCGCTTCACTGAAGGTCATATAGACATGTGGTGGATTGTCCATGACGGAGGCATGTTGATGCTTCTGCCCTTCCTTCTCCGTCAGCATAAGGTGAGAAGTAACGCTTTTTATATTCTAGATTATCTAAAATTGCTGTGCGGAGTAGTTCATTATATGTCAGCGAGGTTTCAAAAAAAAGCATTTATGGAGCAACAAAGCCTTCAAAGTTAACGTTTGCTTGCTTAGGTGTGGAGAAAGTGCAAGATGCGCATTTTTACAGTGGCACAAATGGATGACAACAGCATCCAGATGAAGAAAGACCTCATCACCTTTCTCTATCACCTGCGCATTGATGCTGCTGTAGAGGTGGTGGAAATGGTGAGAGATTTGACTTGGACTCACATTCACACAAAAAATGCTTTTTTTGTTTTAAATTAAAAAAAAGGACACTACCCTTTAAATAAAACCTGCTCCTCAAATCATTATAATATTTATTAAGAAAAATATTTGTTTTTTTTTCTTCAAAGCATGACAGTGATATTTCAGCTTACACCTACGAGAAGACACTGGTTATGGAACAAAGATCACAGATCCTCAAACAGATGCATCTGACAAAGAATGAGATGGAGAGAGAGGTAAATCACAAAACACTGTTTCAGGACCAGAAGAAACTAATTTATCAAGCTGCTCTGCACCTCACTTATCCAGCTGTCTGTTTATATTCACTCAAATTCTTCTTTTCGGAGAAGAACCTAACATAACTCCACAGGCCATTTACAAGAACCAATAGGTGTTTCCTGTTTGTTTTTGCAGATCCAAAGTATTACTGATTCATCTCGTGGATCCATCCGTCGTAAGAAAATGTCAACCTTGCAGCCCCAGCATAGTACTGAGGAGAGCGCCAGTCTGGTAGAAAACCCAGAAGATAAGGTAAAAGCTTCAAACATCTGTGTTTCTCCCTCCTCTGTGTCCAAGAACAAGCTGCTTCCCCCAAGGGGCTGTTCTTTCTGCAGCCTTTAATTATTTCTCCTGATTAATCACAGGTTTCAGAGATCTCTCTACGCTAACAGGTGCCTCTTTCTTTTTTTCACCCTCTTATTACACCTGTTTGTCTCTCAGTCTGAGGCTGACTCCCATCCAAAACAGGTCCGCCTCTTCAAAAGTAAGAACGAAGCCACATCCACCAACCCTACAAGCCCCACCTCACCTACAGGAAAGACTGTCACCTGTAGAGACAGCAAGGGTGCACAGAAAGGGATGAGTGAATCAGCACCAGAGGCATGCAGAGACCCGCTTGGCATGAAGCCGTAAGTCACCAAGACCCTTATTACAGCTCATCAGGTGGCACATGACAAATGGTCATGAAAACAGTCAAATGTTGTGACTTATGATAAGAGATTTGACTGAGAAGTTAATACAGTTTTGTAATTATTCATCATATTTTGTTATTGTATTGCATTAGATAATTATTTTTTGTGACGCGTCACTTGGCCTGTCTCTACTCCAGTGTTTCCCAACCATTTTTTATTTCTGTAACCTTGTTGTGCATTTTGTCATACCATAAGTACCCCTCTCTGTCAAAAGTATAGATGATTGTCTAAAGTTAAACGTACAATAACTGATAATAAATAAAAACTATTTCACTTCATCTTTCAATTTGAGCACTTAATTCTAAGGCATTATATGCTTTCCATCTCGAATAAAAAAAAAAAACAAGATAAATATTTTTGTCTTGAAGTTATTAAGGAATCAAAATGAATAAAAATTAAAATAAAAATATAAACCCATATTTATAAAACTGGAGCTCCTCTGAGTAACTCCCTGATATTAATATTGAAACTTGATTAATTTGGAACAAAATGCACAACAAAGCTATAGTCAGAGTGACTTAATTAGTCTTGCTTTGTTTTCATCGAGACACCTGAGCTGCTTTGATGAGCTCGGAAAGATCAGTGTGAAAAACATCTGATCCCAGGCTGTTCTCTACATCCAGTCTGTTTCTGCTTGGTTTTGGTGTGTGTCAAAGCTGAAGGTGAAGTCAAACAAAAACAACATAAATGTTGGTTGATAAAAGCTTGTTTAATTTTTCAGTTGGGTCCTCACAAAGCAAAACAGATCCCAGCCCTATTTTATCTACTACCTAATAAATAAGATATTTTCATATACCCCTTGCAATGCACTCGCGAACCACTAGTGGTACATGTACCCCTGGTTGGGAATCACTGCTCTACTCCACCCTAACATTTTCGTTGCTGTTTTTCCACTTCCAGAAAAGGCTTTTTCAGGCCACGATCAAACATTTTCATCAGCAGGGCCATAAAAAAGCGATTCCTGGTAATGAAACAGTTGTAATGAAGATTAATTACAGTGAGGTCATGTGGGACTGATGGAAAAAAGACATTTGTCTACCACTTGGTGGGAGAACGTTTTCACCAAATTAGTCCTCTGTGAAATCCTGACAGGCTAAATCAGCATCATTACTTTTTCCATGAATCATAATCTGTGTAACACCTTTGGCTCATATGTTAGAGATGATTTTTTTTTTTTTATCTAGTAACCATCCAATGAATGCACCTACTTACAGCATGTGCTAGAACTTTACTTACATTATATTCTTTTAACTCATGCTGCAGGGAATGGGAGGGCTTGTAAGTATTAATATGTTCTAATCAGATTTGATGCCTGAATGGAGAGGCGGAAAAGCTACTTTTCTAGCTGTGAGCTGAAATTCTCTCATTTTAGGAACCAGACGGATGTGAGGCGTATGCACACGGCGATGCGACTCAATGAGGTCATCACAAAGAAATCCAAAGAGGCAAAACTTGTCCTGCTTAACATGCCGGGACCACCGAAGAACCGAGTGGGTGACGAAAACTGTATCCTTTATCTTAGCTAGTCGGGCATTCTGTATTAATCTGCTGAATTTTCTTCTAGACAAAAAAAGTTGAGCAAAGAAAGAACAAAGTAACATTAAGTTGATTTCAGTTATTGTGAGAATCCTTCACTTTGATTGTCTCTCAGACATGGAGTTCCTCGAGGTTCTCACTGAAGGTCTGAACAGGGTTCTTCTGGTGCGTGGAGGAGGGCGAGAGGTCATCACCATCTACTCCTGAGGGCTTTGATCAGCTTCTATACTTTTATTTTTAGAACTTTTGGGTTCATCTCTCTGTCAGTGATTCCAGGAAACTCCTCCCCCAAACCATCACCTGCCATCTCTCACTTCAAACAGACCGCAGCGCTTCCAAGAAGCTCTGGCATTACATCACTTCTGTTATTTGAATGAATGAAGGAATGAATGAAGGAATTAATAGGTATTTATTTCAGACAACTTGACAAACAACAATAAATTAATCAACCAAATGCACACAAAAGAGACTAGTTAACATAAACCAAAACAAACACCAATTTCCGAATGAACTAAATTCACATGAACGTAAAAAGAAAAAAAAAACCTCCACCAAATAAACCTGTTGGTATATACAGCCAGAGAAATGACATATACGGTATGTAAACTTTCAAGTACAACTTTAAATGACATAATAATAGATGTAACTTTCTGGGACTTTTTTGTTTGCTGATTTCACAAGGTGTATTTATCAGGTTCAATGCCTTTGACACATCGGGCAGAATTGTGCATCTGTCCAAAGATAACTCCTTTGCTCAAAGGTCACTCACGACCTCACAACATCTGCAAAATGCAGAAACATTCATAAACACAATGATGATGTGTTCCATGATAGTAAGGTTCTTTATTTTAATTTCAAAATTATTTCTGTAATTATAAATTTAACTCATAAGGGAAAAAGAGTTTTCATCATGATTCAGCTGTGTTATTTTAGATTTTTAGTTTAAATTGGGTTTAAAACATAGTAAATCATGGAGAACTGTCTATAATGAAATGTGGCCTTAAATACCATCAGATTACTGTGGAGGAGAAAGGCCTAACCTATCCGCATACCATACTGTCATCATATCCCTTCCACATATGGGGAATTTTTTCAATTTTAAAGGGAATCCTTAGTTGTAATATTTGTCACCCCCACTGTGTAGCAGCAATTTCAAATTAATTAAGTTCCCCAATAGTTCATTCTGTAAAAAACAAATTATCTGTCTTTATTATTATTCTTTTTAACTTTTTATTTGAGGCTTCTATTTACCTTTTTTCTTTTTTTTTTCTTTTTTTTTTAGCTAAGTAGCTTTTGTATTTATGGAGATTATGTTTTGCTAGTATTCTGTTTTAACATAGTTTTATTAACAAGGACAGTGTTTCTGATGCAATAAAAGCAAACTTCCATGTCTGTTCTCTCCAAATAGGCAACACTTCTCCTGTGAAAATCTGGTGTTAGTTTGTTTGCATTAGTTTATTTGTTTATTTTTGCATAGCTGCAGCTACAAAAGATATTTCTGTTATGTTTTCTCTAAATCTAAGGGTTCTAGTAATCTTCCTGTTGAATCAAATTGCAGGGAAGCAGTAATATTCCCTTTGGAGAACTTTACCATAACTAACTATCACCACTAGAGGTCAGTGTTTATCAGCATTTCTTAATGCTTGTGTGAAAACTCTTCAACCTTCTCCTTGGTTGGTTCTCAACGTTTTACTTAATTAAAAGTCCATAGCAGAATATCAGTGGTGTTCAAGTTTAGTTTCCTTATAAATAATCCAAGCAAACACATTTTATTAGACACAAAATCCTCCTTGTTTTTATTCATTTATATTATTATTTGATTAATTCTCATTAAGAAGAATCCACCTTGAATTTCACTTTGCCTCCTGGCGTCAGACAACAAAAACTAAATCTGAAGCAGAAATGGACTCTTCAACTTGATAAGGAGCCAAACATAGCCGGAATATTTCTATCAGCATTTTTATCTGTCACTGTTCCCTGAATTGGTCCCAATAACATGTATAGGTTATCTTTATGAAGAAGGAATCATTGTAAAGATGTTTTATGAAGAGAGCACAAACTGACTCCTTTCTCCCCACTTATTCTATAACCACACCACCTTCTGTTATCTAAGCTTTTCTTTATTTACTTTTATCTTTTTCCAATAGATACACATATTGATTACGATGCTGTTGCATACAGTTTGCAAAACTTTACCTCATCCCTGATACATTTATATATAGTTTTATTGATAAATGTCTATGTAGAGAACTGTTTGTTTTACTGTATATAGAAGTGGCTGCAGTGACACACCTTGTGCATCTACTAGGTGTTGAATTTGCAGGTTAAAGTTACTGGTTTCTTGTTTGCAGAAGTCACAGTTACTTGCAGGCTGTTTGAAAGTCTATCATTTACTTGACTGACGACAGCATCTAAAGACATACAAGACAAAATAGGTCTGATATTTATGAGAAGGTAAGATGTGAAAATAAAAGTGTTGACAGATTCTGCAAAACAGTCTGCAAAAATGGATTCATCTAAATAAAAACTAATAAAAGTTGGAAGTTTGGGCCCTCTGGTGTTTTTTACTTTTCCGTAAAATATGAAAATGTTTACACTGAAGATATTCATTGCTGTCTAAGGTAATTGCACTACCGTTACCATTTTTTAAAAATGTTTTTGGTTTTCAAATTGTTTTTCTTTGCAAATCTGAAAATTAGCAAAACATGGTTGAAATGAACTTAAGTAACATGATACCATAATACAGGGCATAGATTACAGACAGTTGCTGTTTTTTCACCTGCAGAGATGAACTATGTTGCATTGTCCTTAACAAGTAATCTGAATTATAGCTAATTCTATGTAAAAAATATATATCTTTACATGCTCCTGACATTCTAATACCCACAAATAAATTTCAGTGCAACCACTTCATCAATTATCTAAATATAGAGCAAACCATTGGTGTGTTATTTGGAGAAATTCCCAGAGGTTTGCAGAACAAGCAAGTGAAGATAGGCCAGGGATAAAATTATGCAAATATTTTAAAGCATTGCAATGTTATCAAAATACATCCTTACATCTAAACATCTCACAGAGCATTGGTTAATCCATAACCTAAAAATGGAAATAGTAAGAAACAACTGCAAACCTACAAGACATCCCTATCCACCCAGCAAACCAAGCAAAAGGGAGATTAATCAGAGAAGCAGCCAAGATTTCACAGTTAAAGGTGGAGTAGCTGCAGAGAGCCACAGCTTAGGGGGAGAATTGGCAGGTATTGGTTATTTACGGCCAAAATCAGTTCAGCTATAAAGCAATTCCAATTATTTTTGCACTATCCCACAAGATATTCGATCCACGCTGCAACCCTGTGCATAAATGTGCTCTGTTCAGATAATGACAGATCATAGCAGTGGCAGGATTATGCTGTGGTGAGGCTTTTCTTCAAGATTAAAAAATGTTAGTAAGACAGAGGACGCTAAATAGAAGTCTGTTCACTAGGAAGACGTGTAAGAAGATGAAGAAAACTTGAGACTGAGGTGGAGCTTCAACCTCACTTTCTACCAGCAGGATAACGTCAACATACAGCCAAAGCTACACTACAATAACTCTGATGAAATCATACAGGCTTTTAAGAATAAGCAAAATATTCAGTCCTTAAATATGGAATGCAGCTAGAAAAACACTTGAAGAACCAAGAAAATGTGGTTATTCAAAGTATGTGCTTTTTTCAGATATAAATATAAAACATGAATGATTAGTTAAGATCTAAGAATTGTGTAGTACTCTGTCAACCATAAACATTACAGCTTATGATAAAAATAGGAGAAGATTACAGAGAGCTATACATTCAACAGAAAAGTCAGTTCACATCTACCCGTGAAAATTCATGGTATTTCTATACACTAGGTCACCCTTCTTCGTTAAAAGAAATTTCTAGGAACCCAGTTTCTTTTGAAGAATACATAAATAAAGCAGGAGCTTGTAAATTGCGCAATACCCCTCAGTGATAAGCTCTCATGAACATCTCAGCTAGAAAGAGGAAAATGATCACAAATACTGTAAATGGGGACAAAAACTGCATATGTCCAGCTGTTGCTATAAATGTTTGTCAAAATGATCATTTTTTGATGAGCAAATTAAGAGTCTGCTCTTCAGATGCAGAATTGTTTCATGTTCACTTCCCCTTATATAGCCTGGAACTGGAAATTAGAGATAAAAAGTGCTTAAAGAACTGCTGACTTTCTCAACTGTTTATTACTCAGACAAAGTCCATTCTTCAGGCTGAAAAAGCAGTGCTGTTATTTTCTAAGTGAGAGTAGGTTTTAAACAAGGTCTTTGACCTGTCTTATGTAAACAGAAATATTTAAACCTGGAATAGTAGAGGCTGCTGCAAATAGTTCCAGAGAGTTGACAAGATGAAGAAGCGGTCGACAAACCTTCGAATCAAGTTACCCGTCTTCCTGTTTGTAACCCAGGTGATTTTTGTTGCCCTTTATTTTGCCTTTGTGACTTATGATGAGCACGCTGATGCCCGTTTTCAGACCAATCAGACTAATCCGATGCACAACGCCATCTACAAGGACTACCCCATCTTCACAGATATACAAGTTATGATATTCCTTGGCTTTGGATGCTTGCTGGCATTTTTCCGATTTTATGGCTATGGTGGAATGGTTTTTAACTTTCTGACTGCTACCTTTGCCATCCAGTGGGCCATTCTGGTGCAGGGCTACTTCCAGTTCTACCACAATGGAAAGATCCACCTTGGAGTGATCAATCTGATAAATGCAGAGTTTGCCTGTGCAGTGGTTCTCATCTCTTTTGGAGCCGTGCTGGGGAAGACCAGCCCACTGCAGCTGCTGGTGATGGCTCTGCTGGAGGTCCCGGTGTTTGCAGTCACAGAGTGGATGGTGCTGAAGTATCTGAGGATCAATGATGCGGGAGGATCTATTCTTATTCATCTATTTGCCTGTTATTTTGGGCTGGGTGTCACATTTGTGCTTTACAGGTCTGGTTTAAAAGAGGGCCATATTAAGGAGAACACTAGTTATCACTCTGACATCCTGTCTGTGATGGGCACCTTGTTCCTCTGGGTGTTCTGGCCATCATTCAACTCAGCGCTCACCCTTAAGGGTGACGACCAGCACAGGGCCATCCTTCACACCTTCATCGGCCTCAGCGCCTCCACACTCACTGCATTCGCTTTGTCTGCGATGCTGAATAAAAACGGAAAGCTCACCATGGCGGATATTCAGAACGTGACGCTAGCTGGAGGGGTGACAGTCGGGGCTTCTGTAGATATGATGATATCACCTGCGGTTGCATATGTGCTGGGTATGTTGGGCTGCACTGCCTGCATGCTTGGCTACAAGTACCTCAGCCCATTCTTAGCAAGGCGCTGTAGGATCCAGGATCAGTGCGGGATACACAACCTGCACGGACTTACAGGACTCATTTCATGTGTCGCAGGGATATGTGCCATTTTGATGGCTGACGAGGAGGTTTACGGTCCCAGCTTGTATGAGATCTTCTCCCACAGAGCTCCTGTGGAGGGAGACCCCAAGCTGCTAGAGCTAAAGATGCTGGTTCCAGGTTTACAACTGGGTTTGGGAAGGACTGCACAGGAGCAGGCTCTGTTCCAGGTTGCAGCTGTGTTTTCCACAATAGGACTATCAGCACTGGGTGGCATCCTGACAGGTTATGTGTTGAAGCTACCTTACCTTGCATCGCCTCCGGATGACCTCTGTTTCGATGATGTGCTTTTTTTTGAAGTTCCCGCAGATTATAATGCACCGCTTAAACATGGCAACAACATGACATCAGAGGATTCTCCAGCTCTGCAACACCAAAGAGTTTTTATCCAATTAATGGACAATAATGAGGAAAGCAAATGGGCCTAACTTTGTCTTTTAAACTGATTGAAGCTGTGTGTGGTATATCACTTACTGTTAAATAAATGTTATATATCCATTAAACTGTAATAATCCCTAACATATGTTTTTTAAATGCCATTTAGCAATTTTGCTTGATTATTATGCTCTGGAAAAATAGAAGGGTTACTTTCAGCTTCCATGCAAAATACAGTTACTAGTTTAACATTAAATTCAGTATTTAATCTTTTTTTTTTTTTTTTTTTACAATTTTAAATTTTAGTTGTGTTCAGATTTTAATATCCATGAATAAAATTGAGATTATGTTTTCAAAAGGATGAATAAAACAAGGCAGCTGAGAACACGATCAGGAGATTACGATGACAGAGCCAATAGCAAATTTCACAGCTTGGATTTGAGTGCATGAAGCACAGATTATAAGAGAATTTGTCAAGTGAAGAGAAGGAGATTTAACAAACTAGAACCCCATCAAATGATATTTGATATTTTGTTATTTATCTGTGGGGAGCCTAGTGTTGTTGTTAATCCAGTCTGCTTGTGTCCACTCCTTTAAAAAAAAAAAAAGAAATAAAGATGAAAAACCTGTCCGCATTTACCTTAACTCTACGCATGGGCATATTCCAGCACTCCTATCGAACTGGTGAACAAAATTTAAACAGAAAATGGAATGTAGTAAACATAGAAAATATATCTAAACTCAAGTACTAAGAGCTAAAACCAATAGGTGTACCAGTGAACCACACATCTTGGCATCCCACATGATAATTATAGAAGAAGGTAACTTGTTTGTATGAATTCTGCATTAAAATTCAGATACTTTTCGCATTAAGTGGCTCAAACCAATGTAACATGCTTTACTAGTGTTGTATCAACACTTTTGATAAAAATCATAATCTTTGTTGAGAGGTAAAATGTTATATGAAATGTAATTATTAAGAAATAGTCAAAAATGTTTTGCAAAAGCATTCATACCAGTTCAACTTTAGCTGTTAACAGCTGGAAACTTTTATTGGTATTTTAAGTGACTAACTATCACAAAGTAGTACATCATTGGGAAGTGGAAAAAAATGATATATGATTATTATTGTTATTATTATTTGTAAAAAACAATATGAAATGTGTTTAAAGAGACACTTTGTAGAGCCGCATTTAGCTGCAATTACCGAAGTTAGTATTTTTGAAAATATTTTTGCTAACTTTGCACATAAAAAATACATGAAGAGAAAATTTCCTATTCCTTGTAATAACTCAAGCTATACAGATCATCTGTGAACAAACATTGTTTAATTATTGACACATGTGAATTGGTTATTTTAAAACAGGAATATGCAACAAAATTAATCCCTGTGTTTGTTTTTCTTTAATTTAGGCCTTAATTGTTGGCCAATTATCCCAGCTGAACCACGATCCTAGACCCAGGTCTACTGCAGCCTGGAATATGAATTATTCCATTACTGCCCAGTTTTTTAGCTCCAATCCTCCAATAGTCTCTGAAAAGCTGCCCTTCTTCACTCTGAAGAGAAGAAACATTGTGATGTCAGGAGAAGATTTTCATTTTGTTTTCATCCATCAGAACACATGTATATTGTTCCGTAGATTTCACTGTTTTGCAATGCTGGTCTATCAGACAAGTTGTGTGCCATTTTGACATAAAGTATGTGTTTCTAATGGACTGTATTGTTTATCTAAAAAAAAAAATAAAAAAAAAACAGCAACAAAGGTATTGTCTTGAAACTATATAGTAACATACCTAAATAATAATGGGTTCTTAATTTCACTTTTGACCACATACTAATCAGGTATACTAGATGAAATTTAGGTGTGTCAGTGGGAAAATAAATAAATAACATACAACTACACCTATAAAAAGATCAATTGAAGAAAAGCAAATTGTTGTTTAGCAAACGGAAAAAAAAACCACATGTCACGAAAAACAAAACACATTAGTGTTATTTAAATATGGCATCAGACTAAACCAGAAAGAGATATATACATTTATGTCTCACTGTATAATTTAATTTCTATCTACATTTATTTGTCTATTGTATTTTTGGGGGGGAATTAATTGATTGCTTATTTATTTATTGAGCATTTATTTATTTCTGTATTTATTTTTAGATATGGCAGAGTTGGTCCTCTATACTTCTCTGGTAATTAGGTCCGAAATTGTATTGTACTAAATATGTTTTATCGAATTTCTTTGTCAAAATACTGCAACGTCTCCGTAATATTTTACTGGGGAAAAAAATCTCCAAAGTGAATGAAGTATTACTTTAGACCAGTAGGTGACAGTAGTCGTTTTTTTTTTTTTTTCCTCCACAGCATTCGACGAAGAAGAAGACGACGAAGAAGAAGAAGAAGAAGGAGACGGACGAAGACCGAAGAACCACGGCCTGCCTCTCGATTCGCTTTTAATAGCTCGGCTGGAAAAAGCGCAGGTTACATAACTTCCAAAAGTCTAAGTTAACTGTAGCCTTTTGTATCGAGGAAGGAAAGAATCGTCGACGCGAATCCCACCTGCAGCATATTAACCGTGATATTCAGACTTTGGCACAGCATATCCTCCATTTCAGACGGTAACGTCATTGTTCGCCACATTCAGCTGTGTGCCGCGGAAACGCTCTGAGTCAGAGTGGCCATTTTGGCACCCAGAGCTAAACGTCTGCCTCATCCACCCAGACAACATTTTTGCGGCCTTTTATCCGTGATTTATTTACCGGGTATTTTAATAACTTTTTAAACATGTTTCTGTTTTTGTTTGTTTTGATCATGTTGGCCATTTTATAGAAGTTGTAGCGTAAAAAGTTCGGTTAAAATCGAAGCGGACGTTAAGTAATATTAGCATTAGCTATGTAGCGACGTAGACCTGAACGTGGCTTTGATCATGTCTTTAAATATACCCGCATACTTTTATTTTCTTTTTACATCATTAAGTTCAAAATTGGGTTTATGTGTGTAAATAATTGTAATAAAATGTTAAATATTAAATCAAATGCGCGATGGCACACGATAGGACCGCCCAACGTGCTGTATCGTATTACTCCGAAATTCATGTTTTCTCTGTCTGTGTTCTTTATTTTTCTGTTACAGGAATGACTGTGTTTTGTTTTTCTTTTTCCTGATGTGCAGGATCGAAATGGCGGATGATTTTGACGTCGAGGCCATGCTGGAAGCTCCATACCGAAAGGTGAGTTGAGAGTTGGACGAACGGGGCCTGTAAACTGTTATTGTCTTTGCATTGCTTAGATCTTAAATTGTGTTATGAAGAAGTTCACTTGAATGTTGTGTCTGGTGACTTGAGTTATTTAAACAAAAAACGCAATACAGAAATATAAATAAATCCACATCTATCTCTCTTTATAGACTTCCCTAATGATATCTCACCTCTACTCCCATGAATTCATCTTTGATTCCACTGTGAACTGTGAAAAAAAAGGAAGGTAGTTATTGCGCATATACTGATGTACTGTGGTTCACCTTAGGACTAAAAGAGATTCAACCTAGAACCATCCAGTCCCAATTCGGTTGCAACAAGGTGAATGCCAGTGGTTGATGAGCCCATCTTTACCTGTCCAGCAAAGGAGGCAGTATTCAGATTTACAGTTGGCTTGATGGTTTTACATGTTTAATCCTTACAGTAATGATGCCAGCTGCAAAAAAAAAAAAAAAAAATGGACTTATTTAAATGTATAACTATCTTATTTTTTTATACATGAACTCTCTGGCGAATATGTATATATTTTTTTTCTCTTATATGCACGTCCTCGAATATTTGATATTTTTCTGCACTAGGAAGTATGCATTGTACTTTTTATTGCCAGTTTTTTCTGGTCAGTTTTGAATATTTTCCCATAAATATGAATACTGCCTCTTTCAACATCTTAATTTAATTGCATGCTACACAAAACATTACATTTTGACATTTTAGTGAAATGACTGTAAGATACAACATATCTAGCATAAATGATGTTTGAGAAAATCTTGTCTTTTCTGTATTTTTTATTAAGACAAACACATGTAAATATTAATGCAATCTACAGATGATTAGTGTTAAAGGTGGCTTTTTTTATCTTTTTTTTTTTTTTTTTTGGGCGTCAGTATTACTAAGAAGTGTGAATCCCTGTTTGCTTCAGGGCAAGATGTGTGACAGAGGTGGCATCGAGCTCTTACAGTCCAAGAACGAAAATGGGTGAAGATCACTGGACTGACACCAACCTCACAGGATCTCTTTTAGTGGCCATGGGCCATGCGTGGTCACGTGTTTAGGCACAAATAGTGGCATTGGTACGACCTGTTAGAGGGGGGAGGGGGGGTGGTGGAGAGGACCTGACAGTTATCAAAGCTTCCTGAACTCTGCTAATGTGTTGGACATCCCTTAACTTTTCATTGTAGCATTAAGTATTGAACAGGCTTATAGTGAGGAGGGGAGGGAAGGTATTGGGGTGGTGGAAGAAGTGTCCAGAGTTGACTTTAGAAAGTATGAATTATTATTAATTGAACATATTTTTGCATTTTCTCTTGTCTCACCCCCAACCCCCTTTACCTTGACGACTTGAAATGTTTCATCTACGTCCTCATGATGTTCTTCTATAAACCTTGCTTAGGATGAGAACAAGTCCTATCATGCAAATGGACACGATGAACATGGCAAGAAGTAAGTTGTTTTGTTGTTTTTTTACATACATTCATCTTAAACTGTTAATTGTGATATGTTATTACCAGAACAACTCTCAGAATGTGTCTTCCAAATGAAGTATTTAACTAGTTTTGCCCCCAAATCATTCTTAACTGTAGCGATTTAACAAATTTCCTTCCCTGCTTTTTATTTGTCACAGGAAGAGAAGGAGTCGAAGCAGGAGCCGTAGTCCAGGCTCAAGGAAGAAGAAAAGTCGTAGCAGGAGCAAAGACAGGAAGAAGAGCAAGAAAAGGAGCAGGAGCAGAGATAAAAAACGCAGCCGCAGCAAGGAGCGCCATCGTAGCAGCTCCAGAAGCAGAGATCGCGCTGGGCGGTATAAAGCACGCAAAAGCCCCATGTAAGCAACTTTCAATATTGCATATTTACGAGGTCAAAAATTTACACATTTGGTACAGGCATTAAGTGGTGTCTCTTCTCTTGGTACTTTGGTAATTGTGCATGCATTTAAAAACAGGGGTTAGAAAGGTGTGGTTTCATGGGTGACCTCTTTAAATATGTTATTTTTTTATATATATAGCCGGAAGCGCTCCAAAAGTCGAAGTCCCTTCAAGAAAGAAAAGAGTCCTGTTAGGTAAGATTAAAATGACATTTCAGTATTTTGTGCTTGGTGTAGAATTCATTAGCATTTCATAGATTTCATGTTTAATCCTTTAAAACTAATACTTAAAAACATATTGTGGCTTTGATACCAATTTACATGTATGATACAAGTACAGGCCACTCAAATGTACAATTATTACTTGTTATATGTCAAGTTCAATAAAAAAAAAATGTTTTCTATTAAGGCAACCGATTGACAATCTAACACCAGAGGAGAGGGATGCCCGTACAGTTTTCTGCATGCAGCTTGCAGCAAGAATCAGGGCTCGTGATCTGGAGGATTTCTTCTCTGCGGTTGGAAAGGTCGGCTTTGCTGAGTAAATTCTGACTGTCCCGTTTCCAGTGGGAAATTATCTGAAGTTTTTATTTTGTTTTTGTCACTTATCTGTAGGTCAGAGATGTACGAATAATTTCTGATAGAAACTCTCGGAGGTCGAAGGGCATTGCATACATAGAGTTCGTGGAGTCATCCTCTGTACCACTGGCAATTGGACTAACTGGCCAGAGGCTTTTGGGTGTGCCCATCATCGTCCAGGCTTCGCAGGTCAGTGCAGCTAACCTTGCCAAACACTAATCAGTTTCTCTGATTGAAATGACTGTAAAACTTTGCTAAGAAGAGTTAAACCATAACTTTTTACTACTGTGACTTGGTGTTTTCATTTTTATGAAAACGTATGTGTTCATGTTTTCTCAGATTAATTAAGCCTTATAAATTTTTTTTCCCCAGGCGGAGAAAAATAGGGCAGCTGCTGCAGCCAATAACCTACAGAAGGGCAGCGCGGGTCCAATGAGGCTGTATGTGGGTTCGCTTCATTTTAACATAACAGAAGAAATGCTCCGAGGGATCTTTGAGCCCTTTGGAAAGGTTGGAAATACGGTTCACGTTTACTGAAGCTTTTATTTATTAAACTCTTTTTATATTATTAAATTGTTATTTGTTTTCATAGATTGAAGGAATCCAGCTCATGATGGACAGTGAGACTGGGAGATCTAAAGGATACGGCTTCATATCGGTAACTAAAACTTTTCCATTTGCTACAACCGATGCTCTCTGCCAGGAATCAGAATTTTACTTTTTTGGTTCTCTAAAGTTTGCAGATGCAGAATGCGCAAAGAAGGCCTTGGAGCAGCTCAATGGATTTGAACTGGCAGGTCGTCCAATGAAGGTGGGACACGTCACAGAGCGCTCAGATTCCTCTACAGCCAGCTCTTTCCTGGACAATGATGAACTGGAAAGGACTGGTATCGACCTGGGCACAACAGGACGTTTGCAGCTCATGGCTAGACTTGCAGAAGGTCAGTTTTAAATGCAACTTTAACAACTCTAACTTTGTGTGGGGGGGGTACAACCTCAGCGGCATTTTTTTGGCATAATTTCCATTATAACATTGAAATTTTTCCTCTTCAACAGGAACCGGCCTGAAAATTCCTCCTGCTGCTCAGCAGGCTCTGCAGATGACTGGATCCATACCTTTTGGGGGCATACCTACCCCAGCAGGTGAGAGGCTAGATAATAGAAGGGTCCCTGTCATACTCTCCTGCAAAACATCAGTAACATATCTGTATTCCTTCTACAGTTTCCATTCCTGCACCGAGCCAAGCCCTGAACCTCCCCTCACAGCCGCTAGCCACACACTGCCTTCAGCTCTCCAACCTGTTTAACCCACAAGCGTAAGATTTAAATCATTTCACATATCTTATCAACTTTCCTCCTATAAGGATCGGTCCAGTCTGTCTTAATTGTATGTAAGGGACACTTGGTAAGATTTTCACTAGTAAAGAATAACAAGGTAACAGGAATAAGTTGTTTGGTGCTAAAGGAACTTTAGATAATTATGTTGGATTAAAACATCTACTTGGGATGATATGAATTGGTTTTTTTTTTATGCTAAATATTTCTTGTGCATTTATTTTTTTTTTCCTTAGAGAGAATGATCCTAACTGGGCCTCAGAAATCCAAGATGATGTTATTGATGAGTGCAACAAGCACGGGGGAGTTGTTCACATTTATGTTGACAGGAACTCACCTCAGGTCAGTTTCATCCTCTTGCATTCTTTACATCTGCTTGCCTGAAATACTGTCGTTCTATATCAAAGATCAGACTGAAGTTATTTTTCACGTTTTAAGCATTTTTTTTTCTTCTTGCATACAGGGTAATGTGTATGTGAAGTGTCCCTCAATACCGGCAGCAATGGCGACAGTCAATGCACTTCATGGACGCTGGTTTGCAGGTATGTCAAGCATCTGTTACGTCAGTGAAAAGAAAGTTGACGCTATAAATGATAACTTTTTGTTCATTTCCTTTCCAGGCAAAATGATAACGGCTGCTTATGTTCCTCTACCGACCTACCACAACCTTTTCCCAGACTCTGTAACGGCGAAGCAGCTTCTAATGCCTTCACGTCGATAGTCTGAGACGTGCTTCTGAGAGTTGCTGTAAATACGTTTGTTTGCATTTCATGAAAATCTCATTGAAGCAAAGATGCAATGGAATTTAGTTGGCTGTGTATCAGTTACCTCACATTAATTTTTTTTTTTTTTAACCCTCCCCTTCAGTTGCTTTTCAGATTTAGTTGTAAATTACCACTGAAAAGTAATCTGCAGGTATCAATTGGTCTGTAAATTTTTTAAATTGTCTTATCTGCTTGTTAAAATCAGCTGTTTTTGATTCAATATCTTGGAAGTTACAGAAACTATTACGCCTAAAATACTGAAAAGTATATTGATGTCAAGGGTAATCCTTTGTAACTTTATACAGCCATGATTTCTTTTGTATGAAGGCTTCCAATAAATCTGGCAAACCTCGCCATTCTTGTTTTGTCCCCATTTGAGTTTGTCATGCCAGATTCAATTTGTGATTAAAGTCTTTATAATGGTCTGAGAGCTCATGTTTGTCATTTTAGTACTTAGATTCAGCAATTTGCTGCGGTTGTTGACAGGTTACCGAGTCTGACTAGGTCTGTGGGAAACTGATCAAATAAAGTGTTGTGAAAAACTAACATTCACATATTTCTCACAGTCTACAGTTTAAACCGGGCATACACTGAAATATTTAATTGTTGCACACAGGCAATTTAGGCAACACATTTTATATAAGCTAAAATTAATTATACAACTTTTTCCATGGAATCGTATATTACCCAACAACCACTTTACTTACTGCAGAAAAAAGCAAACCAGAAAACTGTCAATGAGCTGCTTTAGTTTCATTCTATCCAAATATTACTAAGCAGGTAGAAAGCAAATTGAACAACCTGCCATGAAGTAAATTATGGGCAACTATTGTCATGCCTGTTTTAAGATAATCCATCACACAATCTTAACCAAGCTAAACAGAAAGGCACTGGACTAATTGGTTAACAGTGTCCAAAGTAACAATCACCCACACCTCATGTGAGGAACCGTGTCCTCCTGAGATCTAGCATGTCACCTCCATAATTACCTTTATTTGGTATTCTCTGTAAAGCACTTTATGTAGCGCCTAACAGATAATCCCAAAGTTTACATTGAATTCATGGAAAACAAGTATTGAGTTCACATTCTGTACAGTAAATCGAAACATTTCTGAGTAGGTTGACATGGGTGCATTGAAAAAATAATTAAGTTTCATTAGCTCCAAGTAAGGATGTAAACAAAATAATCAACTTGGGAGTAACTGTAGTAATCGTGAAGCAGCATAACTGCTGTGTTTGGAAAGCGAGGATGTGATGATGGGAGCGTGGAGGGCATTTTGCAAAACATTTGTAACATGATAGAAAAAGACATGCAGGCAATAAGCACGGTGGAAAGGAAGGTTTTTTTTTTTGTTAATGGACTTCTTAGAGCCAAGTTGCTCCGACAGCAACCAGAACCATCAGTTTAATCGCCTGCTAACAGCAAAAAGCCTCCCAGCACTGAATGCTGGGTTACACTGAAAACAATTTTATCACAACTACCATCCGCCTCACTGGAACAAAGTGACAGTCTGGCAGCATGTCAGCCTGACATCCTGTCTCTTCATCGTTTTGTATCTAAACATTGAAAATCAAATGGGTTTCACATACCTTGTTTATCCTTTATTACCCTTGTAGGGTCCTGCTTTATTAAAGGTAGAGTGGAGGATCTTTTTCCAGCTTTCTTTTGGAAAGTAAGCTTGTATGAGCGATGCAGACAACTTCTTTTAAATATAGCGTGCACAAGGAGAAATGAGCTTGTGCATGCTCTTGCATATTTAATAAGCATTCCCTCTCGGGAGCAGGTACAGGGTTGCGCATGTGCATTTTTTTTTCCTTTTAAATGGAGAGGGCATCTTTTCAAAAATTCCCGAAAATCCTCCTGTATACCTTTAACTTATGTCCAATTTAAAAGGTAAACCATGTAACGTTTGGCCATTAGGGACGCTAAACCCATGCCCATGTTTCTTCTAACACACATTGATAATAAAGATATGACGGTATTCCTAGTGCCAAGTGATATCTTACCACCCTAATAAAGTTAAGAAGAGAATCTGTGTTACAACTGGCTTCTTTAAGCCTTCGCCAACGAATAAACTCCTTTCCGAGATCGACCCTAGTTCTTCCTCGCACACAATCCCTTTCACGTTTTCTCTTTTAAGCCTTTCGCAGGTTTAACATTTTTCCTTGCCTCAGCCGTGACCAGTAGCCCAGAAGGTGAAAAAATAGTGCTCCATGACGAAATAAGAGCCTGGAGCCATAAAATGATGTTAATCCAGGTCGAATGACCCGACCAATGATGACATGTCTTCTAACAACTTACATAGTCGGTATTTCAGGAGGGGAAGCCCTGCTTGTAGCATTGATGGTGTCAAGCGCTATATATAGGCCTGAGGAAACATTTAAAAATAAATCATAGGGTCACTTTAGGTCACTAAGTCCACAGTGTGCCTTTGATAATGTGGAAGACATGTTTTGTTTATTCAGTGTGTGCTTTGACACAATTCTTCATATATAATGATATAACACTTTTTAAAATTCAGAATAAAAAATGCGTAGCCCATCAAGTTACGCAAAGGTCCTCTTGATACAAAAGAAAACTAATTTTTTTAAGAAAATAGTCACCTATTAAGTTTAGATCAATTCATTAATCAATAAGTATCCATATTTCTGATCAAAAACAATTAGAATATATTGATGTGTGATGAAGCTTGAATACTGAAAGATGAAGCACTAAATATCTGATCCATCCCCAGATTTCCTCACATGTTAACCATTACTGAATTCCGTAATGCAATAGCACAGCCTAATTCTGTTTTATTTTGAATAAATGACACAACACAGGTGTAATGCATATTCTGTAAATTTATATTCTAACAAAAGGCACTGCAACAACAAAATAGCTTTAACTTCAGAACATTTTCACTCTTATTCTAATCATATTTTTGCTTTTTCCTTTTTTTTTTTTTTTTTCACCAAAAATCACTGATAACTTTTCCATTCCTCCAAAACAACGTTCACACCTGAAAAAACAAATACACAGTTAGACCTCCCAGGTAATCTTTCTGGTAAAAAAAAAAAAAAAACAGGGCTTAAACAAACAGGCTCTTTACTGGTAAATAATCATTTAAATGGGTATATCCAATCAACTAAAATAAACTTGGATGTATTATGACCACATATTTATCTTGATCTTAAGATTATTCATATTTAAAGCTGAAACATCTGATTGAGCAGTATCAGTAGCTAATTCAGCCTAAACCTAAACTGTATTTACATTTTAAGCACTTCCAATCAAATTAAATATAGGTTTTCTAAATATTTTTAATGACCCAATATTTACATCCCCTAGAAAAATCGCTTTCACCCCCCCTCAAACAACAAATCAAGCAAGTCCCCCTTAAATCTAATGCTGACCTTAAATTATTTCACTTTTTTGGAGAACAATCTTTTGCCTGGTGAGCTTGCAGAACAGCGATCGCCTCTTCCACCTGAAAGACAAAAAACAAGGAAGAACATCTTGGGGATAAATAAAAAGTCAGTACAGAAGTTGTGATTTTCTTTATTAACATTCATTTTATCAAGTTTCCATACAAAAAAAAAACAAAAAAAAAAAACATTTTTTGTTCCACTATGTCCCACATGAACTTACTCCTTTTAGAACCAGGTTATTGCTAGTTTTATAATAAAATTTATTTATAGTAATTTGATAGTTCTATACATTACTTAACCAGTGATATGAAAACAGATGCTGAGGGTAATATTTATTCCATAACCTCACGCCTCAGTGTCTAAATGTCATCTTAATGAATACGTGGAAAGTCTGTGAATTCAACATGCCTTAGAGTTCAGGGACTCCGGTGACTCCAGCATGTGCAGCAGCTCTGAGTTGTCGATCTCTAGCAGCATCCCTGTGATCTTTCCTGCCAGGTTTGGGTGAAGCGCGTGAATCAGAGGATACAGACGCTCCCCTGTGTGCCACAAGAGAGGAGAAGGTATGAAAACAAAAGCAAACAGATGGCTAAAACGAAAGCCAAAATGAGAAATGGCCGACCAAGGAGTTGTTTCTGATCCATGAGGGGAGCTGCAGCCAGCATGGAAGCAGTGAGTGGCTCCGAGCCTGGAATATGAACTAGCTGATCTACTGCAGGCGCAGGAACAACCTGGGAACAAAACAAAAACAAACTCACAGCTTCATTCCTTTTTCTAAACTGCCGCCCCATGGAGTCCTTATAATATTCACAACTTAAAGTAGATAAAAAAAAGTCTGCATGCCCTATGAAGTTGTTAAAAGAGTTATAATCATTTCCCTCACATAATAATTTCCAAAGTTAACCCAACCATGATCTGTTCAATTAGCCACTCATCGATCTTGTTCACATACTGTTAATAATTTGCTAATCTGATATTTCAATTTTATTGCAATTTATTCATTTTAATGTGTTATTCTCCCCATTTTATGGCTATGTTCACGATGCAGGCCTTTTTTTTGCGTTGTGATGTGATCTCTGTGTGAACTGCAGTCCTACAACGCAAGTGTCGCACATGTGCAGTAGAAGACGCAATGACATCACAGGTCAGCATGCTCTGTGTTTACGGAAGTAAACATGGATGGTCGTGCCCGAGCGCATCTAGCGACCTTTCCCCAACCATAAAAACACAATCTTTTCAAGATGGTTGAACATAAATACTGCTCTCCACATCATCGTCCGCCATGGTTTTTGTTTTTCTTGCCGACCCAGAATAGTGACGTTCAGGTGGGATGAATCCGACCTGGCCGTTCAGACACAGGACACATTTGAAAAGATCAGATTCATATCGGCCTGGGTCGCATTGGAAAAAAAGAAATAAATAAATAGGATCTGTGTTGTTCAGACAGCCATGAAAAGATCAGATCCAGGTCGCATATGGGCCAAAAAATTGGATTTGGGTCACTTCAGGCTGCAATGTGAACGTAGCCTATGATACTTTTCTTTCTACTTAGTAGAAATAATCCCATGTAATTTAAAAGCCTTACAGGTGCACACACCTCTGAAAAATGATGCAGTTGTACTTTCCCCTAAAATATTTAATTTAGTTTCTCAGCTGGCTTGTACAGGTTGCAGAAAAGAGGCCTGACAGAGGTACCTGGGGTCTCGTCATGTTAGCAGGAACATTAGCAACATGAAGAGGGTTCCTCACTCCAGATGAATACTTGTACTGACTTCCTCTGGGAACTCCTCCAGTCTGAGTCCCTATGTTGTCTAAAGGAGCACAAATGTGTCAAACAGGAACATATTTTTAAGTTGCACCCTCTAGAAAAAGACTGATATAATATAATCTAGGTACTTGTCTTTTGTGTGGAGTTTACGACTCGTGGAGCCTGGGTTGAAGCCTGCCGGACTGTAGTAATTGTTGGTGAACTGCGACGCGGTGGTGGAGGGGGATTCCCTACATACTGAGGCGGGTAATGTCCTGGAAGGATAAAGGTATTAATTTACCTACTAGCTTTATAAAATAAAGAGAAGTGTTTCCATCAAACCGAGGAATGATAAATTCACCCTGGGGTCTGGGCGGCTGTCCTGTCCAACGAGGGACTGGTCTCAGATTGCTGACAGCATTGTGGTTGTAGAAAGAACGAGTGGGAGGCTGCAAGATAAAGGTCCATATTAAATGCACAGAAAGCAAATTAACCGCTGGATTATTCCCTCTGGGAGTATAAACTGGGTTAAACAGAAAAAAAAAAAAGTTTAGATCGATGGAATGCAAAGTTTGGCGACACTAGAACTGATTTAAAAAAAAAAATAATATTCAAATTTACTGCTCCAATGCCAGATTTTTTAACCAAGCCTCTGGTAGCTCTAACGCCAGGGAAAAGTCCTATGCAAAACAAATTAAGTAGAACAACATTTTAAACCCGAATAGGAAATATCACGACTATTCAGTCATGTTTTCCTTAAAATATTAATCCAGTGTTGCAGGTCAAATGTTCCTACCTGAGGTATGGTCATGTAGTATCCAGACTGGTGATAAGAATCAATGATGGGACTGCTCATGGTTCTCAGCGTAGCGAGCCTCTGCATGTACTTGTTAGTTAGAATGGCTTTACGCTCTTCCCTCCTCTGTGCCAAAGCAACATACAGCGGCTTGGTGGCAACTATTCTCCCATTCATTTCGGTCACTGCTTTCGTTGCTTCCTCTGGGGAAGAGAAGCAGACAAAGCCGAAGCCTTTGCTCTGGCCACCGTCAGTCATCACCTGCAGCCAAAACAAAAAGGAGCTGAAGTTCAGAGAATGGGAAATGAAAACACGCTGAACTGCCACCATGTACAAACTTTACCTTAGCACTGGTGATTGTGCCGTAAGGAGAAAATTCCTTCCGGAGCCTCTCATCATTGATGCTATCATCCAAGTTCTTCACATATAGATTCACCCCCTAAGTCGTCACAGTGCCAGATTAATTTCATTAATCACATTAAACGTATTTGGCATTCTATGTTATGACAAACTCTGACCAGTAATCTGCTTACATAAGGGTAGCAATAAAACATTTGGTTGAAATATGGTTTTATAATAAGGTGTGACTATGTCCACATGTCAGTAAAAGACGGCTGCACCTGATAGCGTTGGATGCGGTCCTGTTTGATCTGGTCAAACTTGCGCTTCAGCTCCCCTTGACGCTCCAAACGCTTCTGAGCCCTTCCTACATAGATGGTCTTCCCATTTATCTCCTTTCCATTCATTTCATCCACAGCCTGAGAAACAAGCATGGACAGCAGTAATCTTTAAAAGGCAATAAAGTTATTGTCTTAATGGAGTACTCATTTTCTGGAATAGATGTTTGCTATGAACCCAAAGCAGAAAGACATTTGCACGTATAGTTAATTTATTGCAAGGCATATCAGAAGGCCTACTGCTAGATTCCTCAATATTACCAGCATTTTCCTGGTATCAGTTTCCATTTTAATCGATTACAAAACAGAATTATGATTCAGACAGTTATTGTTTTCACAGATCACTAATGATAAAAATTTTATAATTTGAAGATTTATTTTGGACTGGACTTTGTGAATGAACCAAAATAGAAAGGTGGTGCAAGGTGTGCTTGGTTATGAGTGTTTGTTGCAGAAGTGGAGATCAACATGGAGTGCATCACGAAGTGTAAAGGTGTGCACCCACCTGTCTCACTGATGAGAGTCAAGGTGGGGCTGCAGTTTGACTGCTTCACTTCACTATGCTTCATTTAAGCAACTGTTTTCATGTTTTTTTTTGTTATATCTATCCCTGTTTTGCTGTCATAGCTTTTGCTAGTGTTAAGTAATAAACCGCAAAAGCATTCATGATGTCAGTGTATCTGTTACACTAAACTTAAAACATGTCATAAATAGGCAGACAAACGAGAACCTGACCCAGCTCTCAGCGGCTAAAAGGTTCTGGATAAAAGCTTCTAGTGGAAACTTGCTCTAATCACGCATAGATTCTCAATCCAGGTAACTATAGACGGGGAGCAGAGAGTTGGGTTCCCCCTTTATCAGCTGTGCTTGACAAAAACTTTTATTTTGAACAAACCAGGAAAAAAAAAGAACATATTTTGTTATAAACTTAATTTAGGGATCTTTGGTTTACAAGATGGCAAAACAATAAACTGGACTGGAGAAACAACACTGCTGCTAATAAAGGAAGGGTCAGAGCAGATTCTACAGTCAGGCTTTAACATTATGAACTGGAAACACACATGGATGATAATAGAATTGGGACTACAGCCTTCTGAAAAAGACCTTAAAAAAAACAACTTACACACACACAGCAAACAGCTGAAGCTCTATTACACAACCAAAACATGTAGGTTTATATATTTTTCAGGCGTCACACACTGAACATGTGAAGATAAATTACTTCAGATAGGCTGTGCCCATACTTCTTGTCCTGCACAGTATTGTGTGAATCCATATGGCCTCTGAGCACCAAGCCTCCTGCTTCCTTTCCACATCTCCTTCCTCACTGCTTGCATTATTCGGACAGAAGAGCAGAGTGACTGTCCTTCTGAAAGTTTCTCCTCTTTCCATAGAAAAACGCTGAAGCTTTGATAGAGTTACCAAGGGTTTTTTGGTCACCTCCTGGACTAAGGCCCTTCTCCCCTGATAGCTCAATTTAGACAAGCAGCCAGCTCTAGGAAGAGTCCAGGCATTTGTAAACATTTCCATTTAGGAATGAATGAACACTCAAATAAGCAAATTTTTTCCGTGTACGTTTCCAGACAATTCCTTCAGACTTTATGCTTTGTTCTCACAAACAACTGTGGGATCATGTCAAAGAGTGTGAGCACCCAAGTAAGTCTCTTATTTTTCTACTTTTCCAACAATGTTGAAAAAGCTTTTTGCAAACGATAGGGCATTGAGTGCAGGATTGAGAATTGGGGACATAAACAATTAATGAATTTAGGATTAAGTATTGATTACTTATTAGATTAGAATTTGTTTCATCCGCTACTTGATAATGTCTGTCTGGTGCGAATTTCTATCAGTGTTGTAACATTACTATTGTCCACTAGAGTCCGCTGAGTATTCTTAAGCATTACCTCCCTGGTATTGCAAAAGTTGCAATGCTATACAGCACATGCATGCTGTAGCAGAAGCATCAATCAAGTGTCCAGTAATATACTGTTCCATGGCAACAGGCTGAATGAATTTTCTGCGGTTCAGTTTGTAAATATACTATTTATAACTCCTTATATATAAAAGTGTATCCGTTTCCTCAATATACGTCTTGAATCAAAGGTTTCATAAAGTCCATATTTGTGTGTGCATTTTTTCTATAATCTTTTGCTGCTGTAAACACCAGAATTTCCCCATTGTGGGACAATAAAGGGATTTTCTATTCTAAAATCAAACCGAATCTGACAGATGAGAATAATTTTAGCTGGAACTTTATTCTGTATTCATTTGATCACATTTGAAAGGCTTAAATTAGGCTTAAATCAATGCAAACAGTTGGCAACACCCTAACCATAATCCCCAACAATATGGTAAATGTTCTTAAAAGTCATTCCGCAGTTATTAAAATTATATACAATACTGAATTATAGTCCAGTCATTGCTCAGCATCGATCATGATAGTGCTGCCTCTTCATCAAGAGCCGTTTTCTGTGGAAGATTTCTACCCTAATCCATTGGATCCTTGTCACTACTTTCACTTCTAAGATAATATTAAACTTCAATTCAAAGCCTATAATCAATTTGGACATGAAAAAAATGAACAGAGACTAATAATATGAACAGCAAATAGTTCAAAAGCACATTTAAAACCATAAATTAAAGTATCATAAAACCATCAACTGGCATTTGTTACCTTCTGAGCATCCTCATGGTGAGAATAGTTGACAAACCCAAATCCTCTGGAACGGCCCTTCTCATCCTTCATCACCCGCACACTAAGGGTCCTCCCTGAGGGCAAACAGGTCAGTAAGGAAAAACAAGAAAAACAGCTTTGACAGCGCATCAACCGTCATTAACAGGAAAAACATTTTCTCACCAAAGGTAGAAAAAACTTCCTTGAGTTTCTCATCAGTAAAGTCCTCTCCAAAGTTTTTGATGTACACATTAGTGAACTTCAGAGCTTTGGAGCCAAACTCTACCTCCCTTTCTTTGCGAGACTTGAAGTGGCCAACAAACCTGAAGATGGAACCAAAGAGCCCGGGCAAATTTAAGAGGCTAAAGATATCAGATTTAAATATACAACATTTTCCACAGAGATGCGGTTCAGATCAAATAGCCCCAGTTAAAAAAAAAAAATCCCGTATCAAAGTCTATTTACTACTTTTTTCCATTAATACTCTTCAGGGTTTCAATTTAAAAAAAAAAAAAACAATCTTCAAATGAAGAACCAGTTCTGGAAACTTCTGTCAAAATTTCCATGGTTTGCAGTTATCCTGGATTTATAAAAAAATAAACAATGACGAATAAAAAGGTATTAATAAGCCTAGATCAGGTTCAAATTTAGACCACAAGCTCAGAGAAATATATTCTATCCCAATACAACAAACCAACACTAATAAATTATAGTTAAGTGAAGAGAGAAAATTCAGAAATGATGTTAAAGTTTGTTCATTAGAAATATTCTGAAAATATTTCCCCTTTTGTATTCAGCCACCTTTACACTTCAAGACCTCTAAATGAAATCTAGCCTAATAAACTGTCTTCAGTGGACAACGGTCAGGAGTTTTCCCGGACTGGACATCTCCACTCATTATTAGTGGGATTCACAGGACAAGGTGGCTGTACACTGCCCAAGGGGTTGGATTTTAATTTGGAAAAAGTAATGAAAGCTATGCACCATTTTCCTTCCTCTTCACACTCGGAGTTCATCCCATAAGATAAAAAAAAATGCTAATTAAGTACACTGAAGTTTTTGGTGGTAATGTGACCTAATGTGAAATGCTGAATTGCTATTAAACCTTTATAACACATAAGATTGAGAGAAACATGAAGGGGCCTAGTCATGTACTATGCATATTTAAAAAGAATTTAAAAACCAAAAGCCATATAGTCATGTTAAAGTAAGCAATATACACTATCCATTTGCCCTGATAGTATTTACTTAGCCTTTTTGGAGCCTGAGGAGAACTTTTGAACAGGTTGTTTGTGAAGATTCTCAGTCATCCAGGTCATAGTCATTCTAAAAAAGTAAAAAAAACAATCCACTGGACTTTGTTTCCAATTTTGAAAACGTTTCTCTTCTCATCCAGGAAGTTTTTTCAACAGGTTGTTGTACACAGTCCCTAGTGGTCTAAAAAGCCAAACATTATTTAATTGGAAGGCCTTTGAATGCAACCAGAGTAAGCTACTGGCATAGAAATTACCAAATCATAGTTCTTGACTAGGCCCCTTTCAAAATGAGTTTGCAGCTTGAAGGTTTGATATGGTTCTGCTCTGAGAGACAGTTCTATCAGCACGGTTCTAGGATTATAATACAAACAAACACACCTAGACAAAGGTCCTACCTATTTGCTGACCTAAGCTGGGATAACTGACATTTTTGCCACAGGAAATGGTCCTTTGGGTTGACAATGCCAGATTCCTTTTTACCTGCCTCTTGACTGAGTAAAAACAACAAAAACACAGAGAAATCATCTGCAGCAATTGTGCTTTGAATTAGCAGCACAAACAACTTCTGCTCTTAGCTTTGCCTAACCTCAGTAAAAGGAGGGCTCCAGTTAGATCACTAGAAAAATGGTCACTTTTCCTGCCTTGGTTGCACTGGTCCAGCTAACATTTTGCATGCAGATTTAAACCAATGAAATCATGTGCACAGCATGTATGGAACATTTTATTTTTTTCACCAGCAAAATCATTTAAGCTTTAATAAAACATAGAAATTATGTTTGCAAAGTCACACCTGTAGTACCCTTTTTCTGCTGCAATTCCTATTGTTTACCTCTGACTGTATTGGAAAAGAGACCCAAAGTACAGACTAGTCTGGTCATGTGACAAAATCTAGTGTATAACAATGAAATACATTGACTTAATCTATAAAACCACATTTTTATAGCTGCTTCACTTGAATCATCTCTATTAACAATAAAACATGGATCATAAAATGAATTCAACCTTGACTCATCTATTCTTGCTCCTTATATATTTTTAAAGTACTGCAATGGCCACAAAGCTGATATACTAAATCAGAAATACTTTAATAATCCCAGAGGGAAATTACTTTTGTTACACGCTCCAGTTGCAGTTAGCAACATTGGCCTCAGTCTCAATGCATGCATCAACTCAGCTTAAAAAGGCCAAAAAAAATACATTTAAAAAAAGACTGGCTAACCCATATCTTGTGCCTCAAAAACAAAGACAAAATGTTTGAATACGTTTACTTTAAGAGGTATGGTCTAGAAACAGGGCTTTTGTTGTTGGAGCTGCTAGGTTCCTAACTAAGGACAGGTGAAACACTCATCCCCCATGGAACAAACATATGTCCTCTGATTTAAAGTTAGTGCTACATCGTTTCAACAAAACAGCAATTAAAAGATAAAGAGCCAAAAAACATTCCAAAGGGGGCAATATAGCGGTGACCTTACCCTTATTTCGAGATCGAGCAATACTTTCCTTTCCTTGTGTTGACCATTTGTGGTCTGCATTTTCACAAGTAAGCAAAAAGTGTTTTGTAGAGGACATACAAGTTAAAGAAAATGTGGTGGAAAATCAGCTTTATGTCTTCAACAGTAAAAACAACAGTCAGTCCTTTCATTACTCTAACATGGAGAGGAAGACCTGAGGAGTTTGACGTGGGCTCTGGTTACGTAAATCAACATTAAATGCTTTCTCATCATCACTTCTGTATTGAACTGGTGTTTTTCATGCTTTAGAAAAAGAAAAAAAGGATTTGTGTACCAGATTCTTTCCAAGCGTTCATTTTCTGTTGTAGATTAAAAAATGCATTCACGAATGATTGCCAAGGACATTACACATCAGTGAATCATTACCTTCAGAAAAGCCTGCAGTACGTATCCAGATATTTTCTAAATGAAAAGTCACTCCTAGTCTTTTCTCAGAAGCAAGTGTTTCTTACTCTGACCACTGCGGGCACCCAAACATCAGTATGTTATAGACTTTTCTCATAAGTTTCAGTTTGCAAGTGACAAACAAACACTGCAGGACTTCAAACTTAAACCAGAATCGACTTGATTTGTCTAATGTTACCAGCTCATAGAAAATAATCCACAGATGGAAGGAAGGATTAAGGTTACCTTCGAGTCCACAAGCACTAGCTGAAGTCATAAGTTGTCTGATGAACAGGTATACCGATACGACAACAGACACGTCATAGCTTCTGATGTCACAATAAGCGATCATCACAGAAAAAACACATTTAGATAAAGCAGATAAAACACAGCTCCATAAAGGGTTTTACAGCATATATAAATTATTACACCAGAAGAAGCAACGGTAATCATTTCCACAGCAGGACCCAGGGTGGACAGTTGCTTTAAACGGCTTTATGGTGCACCCGCTTGTTTTCATACAATAAACTGAAAAGGTTAGGTGGAACCAGTGCAACCAGTGCCAGGTCTGGAGCCCTCAGACTTATTCGCCAAAAAGGATCAAAGTTTACTCACACTTTCCTGTCATTTAGAAGCATCCCATTCATTGTGTCAATGGCACGGTTTGCAGCCTCCTGAGTCTCAAAGTGAACAAAGCCATAGCCTTTGGATCCTTTCTCATCACAGACGACCTATAGCAATCCCATAGATATGGAGTTATAAAATAAGACATCTATGTGGCCTTTTTCTAAAAATTAACATACCTTGCAGGACAATATATTGCCAAAGGCTGAGAAGGTATCATAAAGCGCTTTGTTGTCGATGGACTCATCCATGTTCTTGATAAAGATGTTACCCACACCCGACTTCCTGAGACCTGGGTCACGATGAGACCACATTATTCGAATGGGTCGACCCTTGATGACATCATAATTCATGGTATCTAAGGCACACTCGGCTGAAAATGAAAATAGAAAACAAATTCAGACTCCCTCTACAGCAGGCTTTTAGCTAGCAATGCTTACGGACGCACATTGTATGCCCTTTACTAAAAATATTAGAAATTTTACACCCTGTTTTTAGGATGTGCAGCTTTGGCACATCCCAATTTTCCCCCCAAAACTTCACTCAAATGTTCAAACTTTCACAAGCAGCAGGTGCTGGAGTTTTCTGCTGCTAAACGCGCCATGTAAACCAATCAGAAAAGATGATCTGGTAGCTTGGAGGGAAATGGACAGCCCTGCTGATGCAGATCGCTATGATCAGTCCTCTGAAACGGTTTATAATTGCCTAAATTAACTTAAAATGTCAAAACCTGCCGGCAAAATGTTTGCTTTTATTATTCTGGTGCCTGCAGTTTGAACCACATACCTGAAAAACGCTAACATCTACTTCCAGCCGCCATGAATTGTTGGGGAAAAAACCCACAAGAGGCGACTGGGCCCGAGGCAACTGTTGCTGGATTCCCAGTGACAGCGCACCGCCGGAATGCGGGGGTCTGCACAGCTCCAACGGCAATTAAGATTTAGAGGAAGGATCGTAATCTTGATGAACTGACTGCACAGACAATGTTTGGAGGTGGATTTTCTCACTTAAAAATATATTAAAACTACTTTTTATACATTTTTTCAAAACAAATATAGCAAAGCTACTCTTTGCCATTGAACACAGGGGCACAAAAGCATCATATGCATCTGGACAAACTTTACTGGAAGCGTCTGACCATTATGCGTACAGCATCAAAATTGAAGCAGCAGGTGCTTTTTTGCTGCTGAAATCACGGTGTGAACATAGCATTACATTTTAAGATTGTTTTAATCAGGTTCTGAAACAATTAAAAAGATTAATCATGATTAATCAACTATTAAAACAATCATCATCTAATTTAATAATTGATTAAACATTAACTGGAGTATAGAGACTCTAAAGTATGGCTTTAGATGAAAGAGAAACCCACTTAGTCAAGCACACATACTTCCCATAGTCAGGACAAAAGTAGTGTTGGAACAAAGACAAAAAGTTAGCTGCATTCCACCTCAAACTGTAGGATATAGCATTTCAGAGAGTCTACATTTCAAACTTTTCCGGGGGACAAATATCCCTCCATCCATAGATTTTCCATCATGCTTATCCTTGCTGGGGTCACGAGGGGTGCTGGTGGGTACACCCTGGAAAGGTCGCCAGTCTATCGCAGGGCAACAGAGTCAAACAGGACCCAGACACTCTCACACCTAAGAAGACTTTAGAGAAGCCAATTAGCCTTACACTGATGTCTTTGGACTGTGGGAGGAAGCTGGAGTACCAAGAGAGAACCCACGCATGCTCAGGGAAAACATGCAAATTTTATATACAATATAAA